CGCGTGGGACCTGCACAACCCCACGGGGCACACGCGGCACGCGCATCTGCGTGTGCTGGCCGCGCCGGACGGGCCGGCGCTGCGCGTGGTGCGCGCGCTCGCTCCGCACTCGACGACGCGCATCGGTGTGCCGTGGGCGCCGCGCGCGCTCTCCGCGGCGGCGCTGGCGGCGCCGATGCCCGTGCTCATGCCGCGGCAGTACGTGGTGCCGAAGACGATGCTCTCGGACGAGGAGCAGGCGCAGCGCCGCGTGCAGTTCTGGGTACGCGACGAGGTCCTGCGCAGCGTGCAGGCGCAGTGGGCCGACGAGATGGGCGCCGAGGGCGCCATCTCCCTGCGCACGCCGTGGCCGACGCCCGCGCAGGCCGAGTGCCTGCGGCAGCCAGCGCTGCGCATCCACGTGGACGCGCCGCCGACCGCCGACGTCGATGCGCTCGTGCCGGTGCGTGTGCGTGTGTCGCACGCGCGCGCAGGCCGCGTGTCGGTGCGCCTCGAGGCGTACGCCACCGCCGATCGCGCCACGACGCATGTCATGGTCGCAGACGGCACGTGGGAGGCGAGTCTGGCGCCGGGCGACACCTGCACAAAGACGCTGTGCTTCCTCGCGCAGGGCGCGTACACGCTCGCGGTGCAGGCTGCCGAGGCAGAGGCGGCGCGGGCGACGGCGCAGCACATGCACCGCCTCTCCATCGGCGGTGGCGGATCGGGGTCAGGGGGCGGCGGGCTTGTGTCTCCCCCTCCTCCATGACGGAACGACAGCTGTGGCGCCACGCGCTCACATCGCTCGAGCGCCACGCCCGCGCGCATGCGCCGGCCCTCGGCGCCACCTGCCCACAAGGATCGAGCCCTGAGCCTTGGTCGTCGCCACGCACGGCCGAGCTCAGGTCCAGTAGCAGTGATACCATCGTCTCCGACCGCAAGCGCGCGCCACCGGCGCGCGACGCGCCGCGCGCCAAGCGCCCGCGCACGGCCTGCGTGCCCAAAGCGCCGATTCCGCGCCGGCGCACGCTGCCGCCCCTCGAGCCACGCAGCCCATCGTCGCCGTTCCTGGCCGTCCAGCCGGCCCACTCGCGCGTGCATGGCCAGCTCACGCCCCGCACGCCCGGGCGCATGTGGCCGGCGCGGGCGCCGCCGTCGTCGCCCGCGCCGCCGACGATCCTCGTGTCGCCCCCCGAGGCGGACATCCGCGCCCTTGTCGCCAGGACTGCGCGGCCAGCCGGCGCCGCATCGGTGCCGCCCGAGTGGCAATTTGCCTACGTCGGCGCCCTGCTCACACGCGACCAGGCGGCGTTCGAGAAGCTGGCGTGGCAGCTGGACCTCGTGTTCACGAGCCTCGCGACCGCGCACGTCGAGCACCGCGACGGGTTCGCGCAGCGCATGGCCCACGTCGCGAAACAGGCGGCGCGGCAGGTCATGCGCCTGCTCACCTGTGCGTGGAAGCCCCACACGACCGACGACTACGCGCACAGCCCCCCGAGCTTCCGCGTGCACTCCCTGGCACAAGCGCTGACGCGCGCCGCAGCGCCGGAGGCGCCGCCTATCCTGTGGGCCCAAAAGCTCGCAGCCATGGTCGGCGCGGACGTGTCCCTCAAGCTCGTGCAGCACATCATCGATACGGTCTGGTACATGGCTGTGCAGGACCCGAGCCGCCCGTTTGTGCGGCCGCAGCTCATGGCCTACTTCTGCCTGCACTGGACAGAGTATGTGCGGCGCTGGGAGGCACAGGAGGCGCGCACCGAAACGCGCCTCTTGCCCACGTCTTCGCTATCGGTGTTGCACGACGCGCGCGTCCCTGTGCCGGCCAACGTGCCCACCTCGACATTGCTGCGGCTGCTCTTTGAGCATGTGTGGCTGGCCAAGTTTGAGCGCATCGACGGGCGCCATGGCGGCGCTGCTTCCAGCGCCGCCTATCTCCAGGTGCCTCGCACAGACAGCCCACGCATACGTCGACCGCCCCTGCATGCGGAGGCGGAGGGCGCCTGCATCGTCGATGCCGCCCGCCTGCTGGGAGAAATGCACCGGCTCCGCACACTCCGCGCAGTCGGCGCCGTGCACAAGTGGCTACGGGCGCTCCTCCTGCATGGGCAGCCATGGATCCAGGTCCCCTTGTATGAGCTCGAGGCTGGTTGTGCGCTGTTGTTGCTCACCGGGGCTTCCATGCACCATGGCTGGGCCGTCCAGCAGCTCGACATGGAAGCCTGCTCCCTGCAGCGGCGTCGCACGCAGCACAGACTTGGCCCTGCGTCTTCGATCGTCGAGCCATGCCTTCGGGAGCTGCGAAACCTCGTTCAGTTGCCGCTCTTGCCCGCCGCGACCCAGCACTGGTTGCAGGTACGTGGAGGGAAATTCGTCCATTTCGCCTAACGCACAGGGCGTCATTGAGTATGGGCAGCGCGAATGGCTGCACACACGCACACACGCGGGTCCTCGTCTACAATAAGGAGAGGCAACAGAATACCCACGCGCACCTCCCACGGTCCCATGGCGCCTGGGGAGGCCCCTGCGTTAGGACCACAGAACCGTTAGTTTATGAGCGGATATCCACCACCTGCCCCCAACCAGTTCTCCTAGTTAGTACAACGGTTAGTATATGTCGCTCTCATAAGCGCAAGCTGTGTGGCGCCGACAAGACCCGGGTTCGACTCCCGGATTGGGAACTTCCTTTTGGCTCTCTCCACCAGTGCCTATTCCCTTTTTATACGTAAGCTCTCCTTGATTGGGCAGTGTGTCCTAGTTAGTACAGCGGTTAGTATATGTCGCTTTCACTACTGTGTGCGGCGCCGACAAGGCCCGGGTTCGACTCCCGGACTGGGAACATCTTTTTGCCCTCGCTGCCCTCTCGCCTCGTTGGGGCGCGCTCTCTCGCTAGCATCTGTTCGGTTCATAGCCTTTCCTGTCCTACTTTTGCCTGACGCCGTGTGTGATTTGTTCTTGAGGGGGCCCGTGCATCCTTCTGCTTTCCCACCATGCCGACGACGGTGGAGCGCATCCATGCGCTGATGCAGCGAGGCCGCGGCCCTCTGTGGTGCTTCGGTTTCGTGGTGGGTCTAGCGACCGGCCTGGGCGCGCTTGCCTTTGCCAAACTACACAGGTACTGGGTCGCTACGTACTGGCGGCGCAAAGTCCTTCGTCGCGCCCCTCGGCGCCGTCCTACTGAGGAGCCAGGCTCCGACTTTAAGCCCATCGAGCTTAAGCGCAGCGGCTCGATTGTGCCGGGCATCGAGGGGCTGATCGGAAACACGCCACTGATGCGCATTGCAAGCCTGTCTGATCTGACCGGCTGCGAGATCCTCGGCAAGGCCGAGTATCTCAATCCGGGCGGCAGCCCGAAGGACCGCGTCGCTCTGCAGATCATCAACGAGGCAGAGTACAACGGTCTTCTCGTTCCCAATACGGGCTCCTGGATTTTCGAAGGCACCGTCGGGTCAACAGGCATATCTCTCGCGACGCTCGCTAAGGCCAAGGGGTACAATTGCTGCATCATTGTGCCCGATGATGTCGCCGAAGAAAAGGCCATGCTGCTTCGCAGCCTCGGCGCCGTCGTCCAGGCCGTCCGGCCCCGCGGAATCGTCGATCCACGTCATGTACGTTACTGCCACTCATTTCCAGTTTGTCAACGAAGCGAGAGCCCGCGCACAGGCGTGGACGCCCAGCGAAAACCAGCCGTATGCGCGTGCCTTTTTCGCGGATCAGTTTGAAACGGAAGCCAACTTTGACGCGCACTACCAGAACACAGGCCCCGAGATCTGGCGCCAAACTGGCGGCAGGGTCGATGCATTCGTGTCGGGTGCAGGCACCGGCGGCACCCTCGCTGGCGTCTCTGCGTACCTGAAGGGCGTCGCGGACCCTGCCGCCGGACCGCCACCCCTTACGGTGGCCGCTGACCCCCTGGGCTCGGGCGTGTACAATCGCATACATTTTGGCGTCATGTACAATGCGACCGAGGCCGAGGGCACACGCCGGCGTCATCAGGTCGATACTGTCGTGGAAGGCATTGGTTTGAACCGGCTTACGCACAATCTCGAGCTGGGGTTGGACTATATTGACACGGCCATTCGGGTGACCGACGACGAGGCTGTGCGCATGTCGCGGTGGCTGGCTGCTCATGACGGCCTCTTTCTTGGCTCCTCGTCCGCCGTGCACTGTGTCGCAGCTGTTCGGACTGCCCTGCGCTTAAAAAAGCAGGCGCCGCACCCGGAAGACCGCCCCGTCGTGGTGACAATCCTGGCAGACTCGGGTGCGCGGCATCTGTCAAAATTCCAGAACGACGCCATTATGGAAGCGCGGGGGCTCTCTGTGGTTGATGATATATCAGACATTCTACAAGAAACGCAAGAGCTAGACCAGCATCCGTCTTCGCTGTGAGAGGACTCGCTGCTGTGCCTCGTGCTTTCGCAGCAATAGCATGTGGTGTTCTTTCAGGCGTTGGGTCAGGTGTTCCAGTACCTCTTCCAGAATGGAAATCTCACTGAAGCTGCTGCCCCGTTGGTCGCCCGTATCTTCATCGCCGAAAAGATGCTTCTTTTGCGTCGATTCCATGGAGTTTTTCTCGAGTCCAGGCACCATACTGCATAGCATATCATAGCCTTTGCGGATATTAGCACGCCGCTTCTGTTCTGAAGCAATGTGGTTGGCCTTTTTCTCTGCCTCAGAAAGTAGTCCTTGGTTCGACCCCTTGCGCTTGCACTTGGCTTCCGGCATGATCAACGTTGCGTCCTCCGATAGGCTCATGTCACCCGTCGTCCATGCTTCTTCCAGCTTCCTCTTTCGCTCGCGCAATTTGTCCAGATGCGGCTGATGTTTGGTGTTGATAGGCTCAAAGAGCCAATGCATATCCGTCGGTATGTACTGGTCCACGAGGTGCCCGTCGATCTCGGGAAGCTGGAGCGGACTCAAATCCTCCCGTTGGAGCTTCGCCACCTCGGCTCCTTGCATGGCCTCCTTTCTCGGAGGCTGTGGCGCAGCCGGCGCCGGCGAGGAGTGTCGTTGCAAGGAGGGCAACGGCGACTCGTACAGGACACGCACTGGGTACTCGTATGACATTCTTCGATAGTAGTCATGTGCGCTGCGCGATGAAGACAGGGGGGAAGAGGGTAAATACTCTCTGCGATACCAATGAAAATGGCGGGGGTTGCCCTGCTCATCCGGCGTCATACGTACGGCCCCATAAGGGTCGCTCCTCGACAGCCCTCGGTAGCGGTGCTGCTGTAATGAGTGCAGATAGGTCATTTGCTGTGATCTCCAAAGTGGATCCTTCCCATAGGGGCCCGAGGACTGCATGCCACCCGCATAAGGCCTGTTGGACATGATAGGATGCGTCCAATCGAAACTCGAACGTCTCCGCTGTGCCTCCGATGCCGACGAGCTGCTCGCAGCAGGCGTTGCATGCGGATCACTCCTTGGCTGGGAAGAGATGAAATAGGGGAGAAGCGACTGGCCTTGCGGATGTGAAAGAACATCGTACTGGTCCATATGGGAGGTCCAGTGCATTTTCAGCTTCTCTGGGGCAGGTGGCCCAGCATGTACTGGGGGATTACCTTGCGGCCACAACTTCGGCGCTGGGCTCTTTGACTGCGTCTCTCCAGGTTTTTCCATGAACACCCAAGAAAAGCACAAGCACAGCCAAAGCCGTCACACTGTCATACGCGCTGCGTGTCGAAGAGAGCCTGCCATTACGACGAGCGCCTGCGCCCTAACGGTGATGACTAAACACTATAAGTACATCGCTAGCAACCATCTTTGAGGCCATTCTTGGGCCAGGTCCTGTGGCGGGTAGTCGAGTTAAGGAAGCTTGTGATGTTGCTGTTGGAATACAAGTCCATATTTTTGTTAATATAATCAGCCGTAGGGTAGTCACTAGGATCACAGCTGATCCGTTGAGGCTCGCCACGCTTCTGATACACCCGTACGTAGTCAAAGGCCAAGTGTGCCGGGAATTCAATATTCTTCCAGTCAATGTTCTGGAAACCCTTAGAAATGCCCAAGTTGAGAATAAGCGACATGGGCTCCAACGGTAAGGTGCGTTGTCCGATCTGGGTCTTTTTGTTAGGCGCCAGGGCCGTTTCAAACAGCGTCCATGTCTTCTTTCCATCCACATACCATGTGACATATCCCTGACCGTTGCGGGAAAAGTCTGGCATATATTCTACGCCCATGATGGATCCTTCCCCGTCTGTGCCAAAGAAGGCCGAGTCGGGTACACGAGACACGCATGACAATGCTTCCTGCGTGGGGCCACCAGAATACGAGTTCCTGTTTGTCTCTTTGTGGTTGTAGATAACATAGGAGGAGGAGTTGGTAAACCACTTGTAGTCATCGTCAAATGGTGCGATCTGGTAGGACTGCGATGCGTACGTGCCATCATCCTTTTTCACTTGCATCTCAAAGATATCCAGCTCTGGCACCGAGCGTGCTGTGTGGGCGTTGGGCCCCGGGTGCTCTTGACCCGAGCACGCGCAAGCAGGGAAGCGCATACCAGGCAGTGAAGATATATTAGGATTGTTGGACGGAGAATTGGCATGGGTCGCAGCATACGGTCCTGTCCTGTTGGGGTACTGCTGGTACTCAAGAATACCGATATCACACTGGTTATACGAATAGGGCCACATTCCGTCGGTGGTCCCCAAGTAGCCTGGCCGACCCAAATTGCCCATCATCCAGAAACCGGGCCAGTACCCTGCCGTCGTCGGTTCAGAAGGAAGGATGACTTTGGTTTCCACATAGCCTCCCTGGATACAAAACTTATTCCACGATTGAAGCATACCAGAACGGAAATTTGCATTGTGTTCCACAATGTTTTCCATAGTAATGACCAAAGACCCGTTCATCGTGCGGATTGCTTCTGGCGTGTACCATTCGTAATCTTGGGTGGCAAGATAGTAAAAGTCGCCTGCCTCCCAAAACGGATCTTCCCCTGGCCAGAATGTGCGCCCATCCTTGTTGAACTCGTCACTAAAAACAAGATCCCATTCACTCTCATCATACTGGCTTGTCCAGGAATGGGCATCGGGTGGCGTATCAGGATCAATTAACGGGGGCATAGGAATAGCCGGGGATTTCCCATTGTTGATGAACCGGTCACCAACGTTGTTGTAGGATTCATCAAAATTGGCAATAAGCGGATAGCCAATAAAAAGCATTAGCAAACCAGCTGCAATCATAAAGAGAGTGCAAAAATTCACGCAACCACGCCATGTGGGCCGAATCGAATGAGCATCGACATTCTTATCCGGGATATGAAGGTAGTCATCAGGCTCTGCCTGCATTGGATGTAACACCACTACGCCTCGAGAGGGCATCTGAGACTGTGTACTGAAGGGGCGCCTCCGAGCAGAAGTGTCTGGGACCTGCATCTGTTCAAGATCCGCATCAAATGTACGTTTGGATGTTGGGGTCAAAGACGAGCTGGGCCTGGCCTCCTGGTCGGAAATCAAGGTAGCGTCTTGAACATACTGTGTAGGATGCGTGAAAGAAGTAGTATTAGCAGAATCAACAAAAGGGGCATCCCCTGGAAAATCCTCCGGTCTCATTGTAGAGTAGAAGCTTTCCATAGACTCGCGGTGCAGATTTGATTTCATGCTCATGTGCGACTTCCGTTTGGGAGGATATGTTGGTGACTGTGGCTCATTCTCATCGTGATAATACAATCTCCTATCATGTCGGCCACTCGGCGTAGTGGGGACACGATCATAACGCTTTGCCATCGCCTCTACACCGCCCAGCGTGTTGTTTGTTGGCACGAGCTGTGGGCGGTGGCCATCTTGGCGGGCGCCATGCATTTTTATGCATGATGACCAATCAAAGCCTTCCATAAATTTAGTACACGGAAATGCGGAGGGGTTCATATTGCAACCCTAAATCAGGGTGCCTACTGCTACAGACTCCGATTCTGATTTGACGGGTGACAGAAGCTCTTGCTCAATGGCTAGCTGAGAGGAAGCAGAAAAATATTGGTGCATCGACAAGGGGTATACATGCTTGGTTGTCGCTGGAAGGGTCACACGCAGGTCAGGCTCTTCGTGTAAGTGAGAACTAGAATATTGCCTTGTTCCTGCTTCCAAGGCAGGCGAATCAGGCATATAGCGTGCTTTTGTTGTCTGAGAAAAGTCATAAGGGAGTCGATGATATACAGAAGACAAACTCATTCCATGCAAGAGTAGCTGATCCAAAAGTTGCCGATCCATGCGATCCAACTGCGCTTTGATGGGACATGTCCCGGACAGAACTACTTTCTTGGCAATCTCCGGATTGCACGACAAGAGCCGCATGTAGAAAAATCCTCGGTCCCGACAGTCTGGATTAGATACCTTTTCTGTGGTCCATTTGAGTACTCTTTGCACCATATCCGCTCCTTTCGAGGGTTGTAGCAAGAAGTACTTGACCGTGGCCGTCAAAAGCGCCAACTGTATCTCTGTGGATTCGTCGAGGAACGTAAACAAAAAGTCTTCCATAATTTCTTCGCTATTGTCGATCTTGTCTCCATACTCCCCGACCATCCATATCATCGCCATCTTGGCCCGAGGTTCGTCTAATGAGTCGACGGTTTCGTACAACAACGGGATGATATACTCATATCTGGAGGGATACTGGCGCAGAATGTCCTTGACAACGACAATGGCTTCTTGAATCGCATAGTTGACGTGGCTCTCGATAATATCCAAGAGCGCCTGTACACACTCATCCACCATGGATTCTAGCTTGAGAGCAAGTCGACCAATTGCATTGATGGCTCTTTGAGCAAAATCAATATCCACTTCGGACGCATAGTCCCGGAGCTCTTCCAATACTTCTTTGGCATTCTGCTCATGCACGAGTCTAGATATAATATCCAGCTTGATCATTTTGACATAGGAGGGATCTCTGAAAGAGCAGAAGAACTTTTCGACGTGATGCCGTAAAATTTGGGGTCGGCGCTGTACCATCAATTGGATGTTCCGAAGGGCCACAAATAGTATATCTGGAGGTGCAGAGAGCTTTTGAACCAATCTTTCACTGATTACTGCACAAATTGCGTCTCTTCGCTCTGCCAATGCAATGTAGTTCATCAAATATAACAAAACATTCGCGGCCGTGAAAACCACGGAGGGACTCGCATGCGACAGCTGTGGTATCACACAATCAGCCAAAAGCAGGGACTCTTGCGTTGTCTGTGGTGTGTAGAACAAAAGCAACCCAAGGATGTACACCTGTCCCCATTCCGAATATCTGTCCATGTCCATAACTAGCTTATTTGCAAGCTTAAAGTTAAGGACCAAGCGCATGGATTTAATATGCTCAGAAATATCAACCAGCGCAGCCGCTGCATTAGACTGCACAGAAGGACTGTTGTCTAACAGCATCGCATAAAGATTCTCCACGAACCCGGTTTTCTGCCCCAAGTCTTGATCAAATCGACACAATTTAGCCACACACATGGCGGCTGTACTGCGAACATTTGGATCCTTGTCGAACAAGGACTTTCGTACAGGGTCCAGCATAGCTTTAGCCATGGAGGGGGTCAATAAATAGGACATGGTGCGCAAGGCCAACGCTCGAATATGAGGATCCGAGTCTGCCGCATCGGCCAGAAACCGGGGGATGCATTGGGGAAGCAAGTCCTCTTTGGCCATGCCATAGTTAGCCAAGTAGAGATATACAATTTTTTTTAGTTCCAAATCATTAATATCCATACAATCCACGACGTAGAGGAAGAGTGAGCTCATATCGTTGCCCATGGTAGCGTTCGCGATGATCCTTTTGAGTACAGCCTTTCTTCGAGATAGACCCTTTGCTCCGCTCTTTTTTTCACCAATAAGGTCTATACGTAACTCCTCGGCGCTGCTGTACTGGAAGTACTTGTCATTGCGGCCCAAGTCCGCCATGGCACAGCCAGCTTGCCCAAGGTGGTGTCAGGCACGAACGCGGGTGGAGGCGCCAGTCCAATGTGTCACGTGTGTTACGAAAAAAGTCTTGAGGGAGGTCCCAGCACGATCCGCTGGCTACGATGGAGTATCAGCGGCTCCGGCTGCAGCCCCCCTCGGCGGCTGTGTCTCCCTTAAAGACACAGTCTGAGTCACTATACTGGAGAAACCAGTTCCAGTCTCCTGTTTTCTTGAAAGAGTTCGCGCCTGTCACCTCGATTCACTTTGTCCCGGCGAGCCATGCCACCGACGAGGATGTCGCCTCCAGCGGCTCTCTATCTGGCGCCCGGGGTCGCTTTGCTGTGACAACAGGCACACGTGTACAAATTTACAGCATGCGGACGAGTCGCGTGGTCAAGACGATCACCCGGTTCAAGGATGTGGCCCGCAGCGCTCATTTCCGTGCGGATGCCCGTCTTCTGGTGGCCGGTGAAGACACAGGTGCGGTGCAAATTTTTGATACAAACTCTCGAACCATACTGCGCTCTTTCCAGGGGCATCAGATGTACGTACGATCCTCTCACCATCAGGCCTGTCCATGTGTCCAAGTTTTCACCTGATGTGGCACAGGTTTTGACAGCGTCGGACGATCGGACTGTGCGCTTGTGGGACATGCCAGAACAAAAAGAACTGCGTCGCCTCGATTCACACACAGACTATGTGCGCGCCGGTGTCGTGTCACCCGAAAACCCCAACATGATCTTGTCCGGCTCCTACGATAGCACCGTTCGGCTATGGGATCTCCGTATGGGTGAACACGGTGGTGAAGCCATGCGCATGGAGCACGGAGCTCCGGTGGAAGACGTGATCATATACCCCACTGGTGGGGGTGGCATTGCTGCTAGTGCTGGCGGCCCCGTTCTCCGGGTCTGGGACTTCATGAGTGGGGGTCGGTGTATGCATGCCATCTCGAATCACCAAAAGACCATCACGAAACTTGCCCTGTCCGTGGATTCAGGAGCTGGATTCACGTCGGACCAGAATAGCGGTGGTATGCGCCTGCTGAGCGGTGGCTTGGACCATCTCGTGAAAGTGTATGATCCTGCCCAGGACTATCGCGTCACACATACCATGCGCTACCCCGCCCCTATTCTGAGTCTCGCTGTGAGTCCCGACGAAAGTCATATTGCTGTGGGCATGTCCGATGGGACACTGTGCATCCGCAAGCGTGTGCTCAAGGCCAGTGAGCTGGAAAGCCGAGAGCGTCGGCGCGCGGCGTTCCGCACTGGCGCGTACGAGCACTTTTTGGACGCAGGGCATGGAAGTGTTGGGCCAGAGCGAGCAAGTGCTGCGACACGCACAGACGAGCTATCGGTGGAATCCACGCGTCGGCAGCGTTTGAAGCTATACGACCAGCTGCTCAAGGCTTTCCGGTACCGTGATGCTCTCGATGCGAGCTTGCAACAGGGTGTGCCTGCTGGAGTGACGTTTGCCCTGATTATGGAGCTTATTCGGCGCTCCCCTAGCGGACAAGCGGACGGCCTTCGGCGTGCCATTTCTGGACGCGACGATGTGACCCTAGAGCCACTTCTCCGGTTTCTATTGCGGCATGCGACTAACCCCCAATATACAAGCCTGGTGTGCGATGCCTTGACGATCGTCATTGAAACTTATGCATCGGTCCTAGGCCAGTCTCCTATCATTGATGATCTATTTGGGCGCATTTGGAGCAAACTGTCTGAGGAGATGCGACTCCAAAACCAGCTCTTCCAAGTAAATGGTGCTCTTGAGATGATTCTCGCGCGCTCTGCTCTTGGTGCAGCCACCTCGTAGCGGGATATAGGCCTAAGCAATTACTTTGCTGTCGACGATCTCTTTTCCTGTCTTTTTAATCTTCTCCAGCACAGTCTCGAAGGGCACTGTAGCACGCACGTCGACAGTCTGTTTCTCCAAGCTTACGTCGAACGATTGGACACCTATCGTAAGTAACTCGTACGCACCATCGAGCTTGCCCAAGACCCGCTCAATGGCACCAGAGCAGGAAGAGCAGCTCATCTTTACGTCAAAGTGGTATTCGTGCGTCTGCATAGTGGAGCCGGTTCGTTTCTGTTCTCGGAGACTTTGGCGTTACGTACCTCGACCATGGTGGAGTACCGCGCTTGGGCGCCTGGGCCTGGACTGTCCGCTCATGCGCACGATAAAGTAATCACACGTCATCATAATGGAGCTGCCGACACAACTATACGAATCACGTGATATGAATGTGAAGGGGCGTGTAGGGCTTCGTTCTCCGGCTAGTTCGTCCTACTGCTTACACACACCATGGAGAACATCAACGTAGGTACCAGCGCCTGTCGGTCACGCAGTTGCTAACACGGAACAGGGAGAGCTTGTCGACCTTTACGTGCCCCGCAAGTGTGCCGCCACTGGTCGTCTCATTGAGGCCAAGGACCACGCTTCGGTCCAGATTGCCGTGGCTGACGTGGATGAGAACGGCAAGATGATCCCCGGCTCGTCGACCAACATCCCCATCTGCGGTGCTGTGCGCCACCAGGGCGAGAGTGACGACTCGCTGAACCGCGTTTGCCAGAACCTTGGTCGTACGTATTACTGACTGTCTTGGCGGCTCGCTCTCGCACAGCCAGCATCCTACGTGTCCACACGCACCCGCTCCAGACAGTCTGCGCCTATCGCGGGGCATGTCCCTATCCACGAAAGGAGCAGGATTCCATTTTCTACGGAGCGAAGATTGTTGTGCAGCGGATAAGAGCTCGCTGACTCCTGCCCATGAGTTGTCCGAGTGTCAGACCTCTGCGACATGTGTGATGCCGACTGTGCGATGGGTTTCCGCCAAGACACTCGGCGAAAGAATAGAAAGCTAACGAACAGTGATCAAGGGCGTCTGGTCTGCGCAGCAGAAGTAAACGCCGTTTATGCGCTCCCAACATCCTCGTGATGCCGCTGCGATAGCGCCCTACTGATTCCATCGCGCCGTAGATCATGAGCAAAATGCCATATTAGGACTACTTTGGGGATCGGTCATTCTATAGCAGTAGAGCCGATTCTGCCTGCGGAGGATTTTGCCGCCCGTACGTGGCTTGACTCAGCCGTCGTTTTACTCAGCTCTGTACAAATCCATCCCAGCGCCTGCCGCTCTGGTCTTTCTCGTCGCTCTCCAGATCGATCCAGTCGGTGCGCTACTTGTGCTCGAGTTCGAAGGTTTCGATATGTATGATCCGTCGGAACCGGAATCGTTGAATATTTCCTCGTCCATACGACGCGGTTCCAGCACTGGTCGGCAGGTGAATGGGCTCGGTCTTGGCATGCGTACGGCCCCTGGACCTACGCCAAGCCGTCCTTTAATGTCCTCGCCGGCGGCTGGTGCTCGGGTCCTCCATGGGAGCATGTCGCCTCCATTACCAGGCAATCGTACAAGGGGCGCGGAAACACCCCCGCCCACGCTCCTCAGCGGGCGGAATCAGCCTCGACGCACCCTGACCGACAACGCCTCTGAGTTTCTGCACGCTGTGGATGATCTTCTGGCAGGGGCGCCTAGCGCGCGACACATGCCTCCTGTATCCAATGCCATGCCTACTTCCGCCTTCCCTGAAACATCCCGCACGCCCAACCCCCTCCTACATCGCTCCATGACGATCGACACTTTCGGATATGACCCTGCCTCCCATCTTACGCAATCCCTCCATCTTGGCCTATCGTCACCTCTACTTTCAACGCCACCGACGTCACGAGCTAGTGAAGAACGAGCAACTTCCAACACACCTCTTACTGCCGACTGGAGCGCGGCTGATTACGATCCTCGTACCAACTGGCCCTCGACGCGCATGCATGTCCGGACTGCGGATCCGTTGGTGTATGGTCCGCTTGGCGGCGTTCTTTCGTCGTCACCTGACAATGCTGAGACGCCACTACATGCTGAGGCTTCTGCAGCGATTGCTCTCGAGGACGACCTGCGCACTTTGACCACGTCGCCGCCATCGTTTATTCAGCCCCAGCATGCCGAGCGCTTTGAGGTATCCATGCCATCCTCTCCAATGCTGGACCACAGCCTTTCCAAACAGATGCGTGCTATGACACTCCCAACCGAGTTGCCCTACTCAAAGACCGAGCAGAGCTTGAACAGTGCATCAAGAATGTCGAATGATTCACCGCCCATAAACGCTCCCATGCATTCGCGTGCTTTCCCGCGCAGTGCTCTACACCATCGTCACGGACCGAATCCAGCCTTTGCGCCTGCCCCCTATTCACCTCCCTTGGCCCATCCAACCGAGCCTCTTGACTTTGTTCCCATGGCGGGTGCAGGTGCCATGCCTCTGCCGACGGACGGTTCCATGTCACCCATGAGCAAGCGCCGTGACGAGGCAAATATGTGGTTTGGCCGGCCGGGTACGCTGCGGTTGGGGGAGACGAAGCCTGCCAATGTGAGTGCTGCTCATCCCTCCTTGGACGCGGAGACGACTAGTGTGGCAAGTGGCCTGCCTCGTGCCCGGTACGACTATGTGGTGCAGGATTCGCCTAGTGTCCCAGTTCGACGTTGTGGCTCGGGACGAGGACGCGGTGCGCATTCCACGCACGACGGCCATTCGCGTATGAGCCAGCGACGTGATGACTCCCAGGGGCATAGGGCGTCGTTCACAAGCCACGAGGAAGGCTCGCGCTGGGAGCTTGCGGATGTGCGCGGCCAGCTCGCCGACATTAGCATGGACCAGCATGGCAGTCGACTGATTCAGGAAAAACTAGACCATTGCACGCCGGAGGAGCGTACGTGGGTATTCGACGAACTGTTCCCGGAGTCTCGCCGGCTGATGGCCGATGTATTTGGCAACTACGTCATCCAAAAACTATTTGAGTATGGTAACCCCGCGCAGGTCGCTGCTCTCGGCGAGCAGCTCCAGGGTTATGTGTTGAGCTTGTCTCTGGGTACTTACGGCTGCCGGGTGGTACAGAAAGCATTTGAAAGAGTGGAAGAGAAACAAAAAATTCAACTGGGGCAGGAGCTCCATCCTCATGTACTCGACTGTGTGCGCGATCAGAACGCGAACCATGTGATTCAAAAAATCCTGGAGCAGGTTCCCAGTGCACACCTGGAATTTATTGCGGCTGCGTTCAATGGACATGTGCTGACGCTGGCGTCGCACTGCTACTCCTGCCGCGTATTGCAGCGAATCTTTGCCTATTGTGACGAGGGCCAGCGGCGGCCCCTTTTGAACGAGATGCACCAAAATACCTTGTCTCTTATGCAGGACCAGTACGGCAACTATGTCATCCAATGGGTCCTCCAACATGGCGATGCAGCTGACCAGCATGCCATTGTTGTAGCGACTAAATCACATCTTTTGCAGATGTCGCGCCACAAGTTTGCCTCCAATGTGGTGGAACACGTCATTGAGGTCGCACCACCGGCCGACCTGGACGACCTCCTTAAGGAGTTACTCGCTCCGCTTTCAGCCACCGACATCGAAGGCTTGCCTCTGCTTGTTGACGGGACGATGCCGCTGTGTGTGGCGACAGTAATGATGCAAGACCAGTACGCTAACTATGTCCTTCAACGCTTCCTCCAAGTGCTCCAAGGTGAGAGCCGGGAGCGCCTTGTCCAAACCATTCGTCCTGTCCTGTATGCATTGCGCCAGCGCCAGGCAGCGCTGGCCGCCCCAAATCACAGCGGCTCACCCTTCACAGGCAGCATCCGCCTCCCTGGCAACAGTCACATTGGAAACAAGCCGCTGCAAGCCATTGAGCGCCTAATTGAGCAATCTTCATCTACTCCCGCCACGGCGCACACGCCCGCGGTGTAATTCACCGCACCGCATTATTGACATGCCTCCATAGACGGACAATCGCTGTATGTATCATGGCCATCCCTCCACTTGGCACAATGACGAGGGACGTATGGTGCGCCCCCGCCTCACTGCGTCCGAACGCCAAAGTATGCGATAATGTGTACGGATCGTTACATGTGCGCTCCTATAGCGATCCTCCAACTCTGTCGTCGACATCTATTGCGTTTGATACGGGCAGCGAGTCCGCAGCATTCACCTACCCCTTGGCCGACCTGACGTCGGTGCGCCTTCGCAGTCCCTCTGCTGCACGGCCAACAGGGCATGTGGTACTGTGCACGAAGCAGGACGACGAACTATGTGTATTTTTTCACACGGATGCCCATTCTGATACCTTCGCTACCCACCGCTGGCTCGGTCGGCAGTTTATCGCTGCCTTGGAGCCGCTACAGGAGATCGTAGCGAGTTTGCAGGAGCCGGGCCTCTTCCTTCTGGGTCCGTCGACGAGAGACCGGGACTTCCACACATCTCCCAAGTTCGCTGACGATGCCATTGAAGCTGTACTTGCGCGCCGTGTGCCCCTAGAGCCGCAGAAGACGCGCACGGACACCCTGGCCCAGTGGGCCAAGTCAACACGACTCTCTGTCCTGTCGCAGTTCTCGCAAGTAACACGCGGAGTGCGCCAATCGCGGGAGGCATTCACGACACGGGCATTCACTCGCCGTGCGCAGCCCCAGGTATCCTCGTCACAGGCTGGCCCCTACATGGTCAGTCCACAGACCCAGTCGACCCTCGATTCGTCCATGATTGAATACGATGCCGCGCGTGTGTACCTGGCCAAGTGGGCGCAGCAGATTGCGCGCGAGGGTGAGCTGAATCAGCTGGCTGAACATGCGATGGATGCGGGACCCGACAAAGATGCCGAAGAGCTGCTGGGCGCCACTGCTCTACCACCTGTTCCGGGAGTGACTCGGACCGAGGGCCCCGTGAGCCTTACCGAATGCACTACTATGCTGGAGGCAGGCACAAGCATTGACATCATGGCGCAGCACATCTTCCATCGCGGCCTCTCGGCATCTACGCGGCAGCTCATGTGGCCGCATCTTTTGGGTGCCTGGCCCGTGCAGCGCGATGCAGTGCAGCGTGAACAGGTCCAGAAGGACGCAAAAGACCGCTATGATGCGCTCCTTAGTCGCTGGTACGGCAATACGGACGCTCGGCCTGACCTAGATGGATCACGACACCGCATCTGGATCGACTGCCTCCGCGCAGATACCAAGCACCCGTTCTTTCAGCAGGCACCGACTATCGATACCTACTCGCAGATGCTGGAGAGTGGATGGGACCGGCCAGCGCACCAGGGCACTTCACAGACACAGGTGAATCCACACTTGTACGCGCTCAGTTCCATTCTGCTCACATTTGTGTTCTACACGGAAGAAGGCTGCGACCCAAACATGCCTCACGTCGAAGGTTATGTGCAGGGTATGAGTGACCTCTGCCTTGTGTGCTATGTGGCATGTGAGGGCGACGAGGCCACTACGTTTTGGACTTTCGTGGCGCTCATGCGCCGCTGGGGCGAAAACTATGTCGCAGACCAGTCGGGCATGCGTCGTGAATTGCTGCTGCTGCAGCGACTTGTGGCTGAACTGTGCCCTCAGCTCTATGTGTACCTTCGTGATCTGGACGCGCTTCATCTATTCTTCTGTTTCCGCTGGATCCTAGTCTGCTTCAAGCGCGAGTTTCCGCTGGATGACGTGCTCCGACTTTGGGACGCCCTCTGGGCTGCCCAGTGGACCGACGGATCCGGCCATGGCTGGCCACTTTGCACACACTTTGAACTCTTTGTGTCCTTGGCAATTCTCGAAAGCCACTTTCCTCTGATGGTACGACACCTGCGATCGTTTGACGAGGTGCTTATGTTTATACACTCGCTGTCGCACCAAATGGACATGGCCACCCTGCTGCGCCGCTCAGAGGCCCTCGTGTATCGCTTGCGGAGCAAGCTTGTGCTCACAGACCACAAGGACCCTGACCTCCGCGCCCTAGTTATGCAATAGTTTCTACCATGTACTAGTACATCAAATGTGCCTCGACTACATACCGATCACCCGTCTGCGCGAGTGTAAATCGCTGCGGAAGGAACCGAGTGCGGTGCCAGGAACGCACAAGCCGTAGGGCCTCCGACATAGTCTGCAAGCGCACCAGAAACCACGCCGATGCACTCTCGGGATGAGCGGGCGGTAGCTTCCATACGGCCGGCACGGTGGAAGGGATGGGTGCGCCCACGAGCCGTGAAATCGGCCATGTGCACTTCGGCATACTGGCATTCAGCGCATAGCTGCGATCCAGCTTTTTTTCCAGCTTGTCCGCGGTTGTCTGCAGGGGCAGATTACTCAGTAGCACGGCTTGCATAGGCTGCGCAGCAGCTATGTCGACCACCGAAACAAGTTCCGGCGAAAAGCCTGCATAATGCTCTCGTTCGCGTAGATCTGCGTCTTCGAGATCGACAGTTTGTGTGCGAATCTCCTCGCCGCCTAAACGCGCTGGCGGCTGGGTAGAGCACCAGGTCTGTGCACGCGCCTCGCTCGTAAAGCGCAGGACGGCTGCGCCAGATGGCTGGAGCATGGGCGTACGCAAAAACCGCACACTGTCACACTCGCATGGCCGGATCCAGCGCTGTATGTCAGCGGGCAGCACAGTGCTAGGCAACCGGGTCACCCATGCTGCACACCGTTGGCCCCACATGTAGTACACCCCAAGCGCAAACAAATGGGGGCGCGAAAGTCGGCCAATGACACGTTAGAAATTTCAGGGTCCCAAATTGTGCATCTGGATGGGCCCAGGGCACGCGATTTGTGTTCGTTCTCACCTTAAAACCATGCTAGCTGTGTTGCGCTCAATTGTGCGACCGAAGAGTCTCGCCCCCGTGCGGCACTTTTCCTATGCACCTGTGCGCTTTCAGACTGTCTCTTCATCGAAGGTGATGAGTGCACAGGAGGCCATCCAGGACATGAGGCCCGGCGCTACAGTCTTGGTCGGTGGCTTTGGTTTGTGTGGTACTCCTGAGACGCTTATCAAGGCAGCGTCGGAGCGGCCAGACCTCAAGGACCTTACCGTCATTTCTAATAACATGGGTATCCCGGGAAAGGGCCTCGGTGTGCTTGCCGAGAAGAAGCAAATCTCTATGGCCATCAGTTCCTTTGTGGGAGGGAACCGTGCGTTTACGTCGCAATTCCTTGCAGGCGAGGTTTCGATGCAGCTCACTCCCCAGGGATCTCTTGCTGAGAAGCTGCGGGCGGGCGCTGCTGGCATCCCTGCCTTTTACACCCCCACTGGTGCCGGTACGGCCGTGGAGAAGGGCGAGCTTGTGCAGCAGTACGAGTCTCAGCCTGGCAGCGATGGCAAACTCGTCACCAAGTCCACAACGCCGTCGCGTGAGACACGCGACTTCCATGGCCGCACATACATAATGGAGCATGCTCTTTACGGCGATATCGCGTGGGTGCATGCCTACAAGGCAGACGAGGCTGGCAACCTCGTGTTCCATGGCACAGCCCGCAACTTTAACGATGTAATGGCGCGCAACGCTCGCTTGACCATCGTCGAGGCGGAGGAGATTGCGCCTGTAGGCTCAATCGACCCGAATGAGGTGCACGTCTCTGGTATTTATGTCGATCGTATTGTCAAGGCCGAGATACCTATGGTCGTGGAGATCAAGCGCTTGAGCAAGAACGAGACCCAGGCCAGTGGCGACACTTCCAAGCGCGACATTATTGCGTCGCGAGCGGCCAAGGAGTTGCGTGATGGCATGTATGTGAACCTGGGTATTGGTTTGCCGGGTCTCGTGCCCAGTTTCCTGCCGTCGGGTGTCAACGTCGTGCTGCACAGCGAGAATGGGCTTCTTGGTATTGGCCCCTATCCTGCCACGGACGCTGATGTGGACCCTGACCTGACGAACGCTGGCAAGGAGTCTGTCACAGCCCTGCCAGGCGCTTCGATGTTTGACTCTGTGGAGAGCTTCGGTATCATCCGCGGCGGTCACCTCGATGTTACTATGCTGGGCGCACTGCAAGTGACGGCAGACGGCGATCTGGCCAACTTCATGATTCCCGGCAAGCTAGTACAGGGCATGGGCGGTGCCATGGACCTTCTCTCCAACCCCCAAAACACGCGCGTGATTGTATTGACCGAGCATGTGGACAAATACGGCCGCGCCAAAATTGTGCAGCAGACCAATCTGCCTCTGACGGGTGTGCGTTGTGTCAGCCAAATTATCACCGATCTGGCCGTCTTCAACGTCGACCTGCAGAACGGTGGCCTGACTCTCATTGAGCTTGCACCAGGCGTGTCGGAGGAGGAAGTTCGGGCCAAGACTGAGGCGCCCTACCAGGTGGCCCTGAAGCCGTAGAGGACTTTCGCTGCTATAGGCCGTGCGACGCGCATGGACGCACAGAATGTTGGGCCAATCCCATTTTTGACTGAGGATGTGGAGGGAACATGCTAGGAGGGCACGGCCGTATCGGACTAACCAACGAACGATACTAATTGTGACACAGCCGCGACGCTTCTTGTCTTCTTTCACACAATGTTTTACGCTCTACGTGCAGCTGCGCGCCAATCTGGCCGTCTGACGGCTCGTCGTTCCGCCTATGTCCCTTTGCGATTCCAGGTGGCTTTCTATTCGAAGGTCATGACCCCTGCCGAGGCCGTGCGGGATATCCCCACCGGTGCAGCTGTCATGGTAGGAGGTTTCGGTCTTTGCGGTTCGCCTGACACGCTACTTGAAGCCGTTATTGCCAACAAGGATACAGAACATATCTTTGTGATTGCAGACAACATGGGTGCGCCTGGCCACGGTCTGGGTAAGCTTGCGGAGGCGAACAAGGTTTCTCGCTCCATCAGTTCCTTCCTTGGCGAAAACCGCAATTACACGAACAAGTACCTCAAGGGCCAAGTACAGATTGAACTTGTTCCCCAGGGCTCGCTGGCTGAACGCATCCGCGCGGGTGCAGCTGGCATTCCTGCGTTCTACACCCCCACAGGACAAGGTACCGCTGTCGAGACCGGTGATCTTGTGCTGCGTTTCAAGCAGCCGAGCTCTCCCGATGCTTTACCGGAGCCCGAGATTAAGGCTAAGCCGAAGGAGACTCGCGAATTCCGCGGGCGCAAGTATATTCTTGAAGAAGCTCTGCATGCAGAATACGCCCTTGTCCATGCGCACAAGGCCGACACATCGGGCAACCTTGTTTTCCGTGGTACAGCTCGGAATTTCAACGACATGATGGCACGCAACGCGCGAACAACGATTGTCGAAGCCGAGGAGATCGTGCCGGTGGGCTCTATTGACCCTAATGAGGTACAGCTTCCTGGCATCTATGTGGACCGTATCGTGAAAGCCGAACTTCCCATGCAGCTTCAAAAGGTGCGCATTCACAACCCTGGTGGTCAGAAGGAAGAAATGAATGCACGCACTCGCATCGCTGCACGCGCAGCCAAGGAATTGCGTGATGGCATGTTTGTCAACCTAGGCGTTGGCATTCCTGGCATGGTCCCGAACTATCTTCCCGAAGGTGTTAATGTGGTGCTTCATACGGAGAATGGCCTTCTTGGTACGGGCCCGTACCCTCCCTCTGAAGCCGAGGTCGATCCCAACATGATCAACGCCAGTAAGGAGACCGTCACCACGTTGCCTGGCTCGTCGCTCTTTGACTCTTCTGAGAGTTTCGGTATCATTCGCGGCGGTCATTTGGACGTGACCATCCTCGGTGCCCTGCAGGTTAGCGCGAACGGTGACCTTGCGAACTACATGGTGCCTGGCAAGCTGGTCCAGGGCATGGGTGGTGCGATGGATCTGGTCTCAAACCCGCAGGACACGCGTGTCATTGTCCTTACGTCGCATGTTGACAAGTACGGCCGCCCGAAGATTGTTAAGAAGACAGACCTTCCTCTCACGGGTGCGCGCTGTGTAAGCCAAATTATTACCGATCTCGCTGTGTTTGAGGTGGATCTGAAGAACGGCGGCCTGACTCTTACAGATCTCGCCCCCGGCGTGACGGAGGAGGAAGTGCGCCAGAAGACCGATGCCGACTTCAAGGTCTCTCTGTAGAATTGGAAATCTATATACTTTTCAAACCGTAACGTTACCATGTAGGGGAAATGTCTCAATTTTGGTTTCCCGACACCTGCGCAGGCGGCGGCAGAGTCACAGCTCCATCACTGATCAAGGGAGAAGCGATGGCTGCTCTGGGCGACTTGCTTACCACGATGGGAATAAGCAAGCTATCTTTTTCATTCATGCCACTAAAGTCCGTGTCCTTGTCCATGTGCTTAGATGTCTCGCTTGGAGGCACATCCCAGTTGCTGGCGTTGTCGCTGCTGGAGCCATCAGAATCGTACTCATCAAGAATTTCTTCACCAATAAGCTCTTCCAACACATCTTCCAACGTGATGATACCCAGCGGCGCATTGGGAGCCGAGTCTTGCTCGACAATCATCGACATAGGCAGGTTGCCGCTCGCACTCATTGGATGATCGGGATCGTCGAAGTCACTGTCTTTACCTCCCCGCATGCGGTAGAACAGACGGTGAAGGCCACGCACTGTTTTTGTCTTTGACTCCGTCGGCGCCTGCTCCTCGAGATCCGTCGACGCGTGCAGGGTCGCTGGGATCTGGGCTTTCGGAGGGACCGTAGGCTTGGTGTCCATGCCTGAGTGCGGAGATACAATGGCCATATGAGAACGTCCTTCTTGGAACACGTTCAACACGTTCAGCAGCGGCTCGTCCCACGGCACGGTTGGTAGGGCATTGATCACCATCTCACTAACAGGCACAGCATCTTCAGGATCTAGCAAAACACACTGCTTCACCAGCAAGGCACCAACAATCTTACGATGAACCTTGGGTGCAGGAGGCGGCGTCTTTGCAGACTCCGGTGTGATTGCCAATGGATTGCTCATGTGAGATGGTCCAGCACTGATAGGTTGGTTATTCAGTGCGACCGCTTGGCGAAGACCCAACGATCGTCCAATCTTTGAGATAGTTGTGTCTTTGCCTTTGGGCGTCCAAAGGCCCGAACCTTCCACGGCGCTGTCCACATCTTGGTACACAGGGATTCGCGAATGGCCCGAGCGAACAATGCGTTCCAGCGTTGGGTAATCCAAACGAGCCGTCAAAGGGAGCATGTGGACCTGCTCAATGGGTGTCATTGCCTGCTTGGCGACCTTTGCCTGCATGTCCAATGCTCCTCCCACAATCGTCACAGTATCGTGCTTTAAGTCACCACCCCTGCCACCAGCTGCATCATGCATGGTCACAAGCTCCTTCAGCTCGACACGTCGATACACCGTTCCGTGATGGGGTCCAAGAACATAATGTAGAATGCGTGATACCGGCCATGCGATAGGCCATAGAATGAACATCACAACCCGAGTGAACAAGGCCATATGTGCACCAATGAAAAGCCCGTAGCGCGAGCACACACTCTGAGGAATAAGCTCGGCAAATATAACGACAAGAACAATCGAGACAATAACAGCTTGAAAACCGCCACCCAGTACTGGGTCTGCAATAATCGGCAGCGTTTCATTGGTGATCATGTTTGCGATAAGCAGAGTCGTTAACAACAGATGCCCGTCTTGGCGCACTGGAGCAATCTTTTTCGCAAAATTCCGTTCTCGCTCACTGCCTTGTGCCATGAGGACCTGCAATTGTGTTTCGTCCAAAGACATGTATCCCAGGGTTAAACCGGCAAAGATACCAGACAAAATAACCAATATAGGGATGAGAATAGAGAAGGCCACCTTCTTGCCCGTGGACAGGTCGGTGTCAGTTCCACTGCCACCCATGGAATCTTCAGCCCGCTTGTGCCACCATCGCGTATGTTCATGGAGCGAAAATGACGCAGGTACAGTACTATCGCCACCGGCACAAAACCACATCATGCCCATAGCACCAACCACCATCCCCAAGAAGAGAGCCCCCCCCGCAACCAGGAGTGGGTGGTTCTTTAGGTGAGTCTCGCGTTTTGCTGCGCCATGGGCAGCGTGGCGGCAAGTGGCCAAACCAACTGTTTTCGAATTGTTAGCAGAGTTATTAGAGCGACCTATATCATCTTCATCGCAATCACTCGATACAACTTCCTCTAGCGCTTGAAATACAGCGCTAGGAGGATCCATTCAGTAGACGTAGTAATAGAGTGTGTTGAGCTGCTTAAGCTTGGTTGGCTATCAGGTCATTGGTGGAGGCAAATTGACAGTTGATTATCCAACCAAGACTAATCATCTTTATATTTGCATAGAAAGCCCTGGAAAAATCGATGGCCGACCACTCTTGGGTATGCAGCTTTTTCTCGAATTGTGGGACATTCGATTGGCGATTCACGCGCTGTGTCGCTCGAGAGACATATACGTGTCGCTTTTACAGTCGGACGACCGTTGCTGAGGATACACGATGGTGAGGTACGTGCGAAATGCGCAGGTGCAATGCTAACTGATAGGGAGACGAAGGTATGCATGCTGACCTGAATGATTCACTAACTAAACAGCTGTATGACCTACTCGGCGTGAGCCCGGAAGCGAGTGAAAGTGAGCTCAAGAAGGCATACCGTAAGAAGGCGCTGGCCCTTCACCCCGACAAGGGTGGTGACCCGGAGCTTTTCAAGGAGGTGACAGGAGCCTATGAAGTGCTTTCGGACTCCAGCAAGCGTGAAATTTACGACCGCTTTGGTGTCGAAGGACTTAGTGACAGCGGTGGTATGGGTGGCGGTATGGACCCCCAGGACCTCTTCTCGCAGCTATTTGGTGGCGCTGGTGGCTTCTTCGGCGGTGGTGGCCGTCCGCGCGGTCCCAAGAAGGGTAAGGACCTGGTACACCGCGTCAAAGTCACATTGGAGGATCTCTACAAGGGCAAGGTGACCAAGCTAGCCCTGCAAAAACATGTGCTTTGTGCCAAGTGTGATGGGCGTGGTGGTAAGGAAGGCTCCGTCAAGTCCTGCACTACCTGCCACGGTCAGGGTATCAAGGTCGTCTTGCGCCAGCTGGGCCCGATGGTGCAGCAGATGCAGCAGACATGCCCTGACTGCCAGGGTTCGGGCGAACAAATTGACGCTAAGGACCGATGCAAGAACTGCAACGGCAAAAAGATCACGCAGGAGCGCAAGGTTTTGGAGGTCCGTATCGACAAGGGTATGGAGGACGGCCAGCAGATCACATTCAAAGAGGAGGCAGACCAGGCCCCGAATACCATTCCAGGTGATGTCATAATCATTGTTGACGAGCAACCGCATCCCCGCTTCAAGCGCAAACTGAATGACCTTTTTGTTAATGTCCAGGTCGACCTGCTGACCGCGCTGGCCGGCGGTAAGGTGAACATTGAGCACCTGGACGACCATGCTCTCTCTGTGGAGATTCCCGTGGGCGACATCGTGCATCCTGGCGATATGAAGGTACTCCGTGGCCAGGGCATGCCCTCATACCGCCACCACGAGATGGGTGACCTGTACGTGAACCTGAACGTCAAGTTCCCCGACTCGCTGAGCGAGGAGCAGATGAAGCTGTTGGAGCAGGCCTTGCCCCCGCGTCCCGCTCCTTCGCCGCTGCCTAAAGGCCTGGATGTCGAGGATGTGATCATGGACAACATTGATGAACACGAGGCACATCGTGCTCGCACGGGCCCCGCCACTACCGGCGAGATGGAGGAGGACGATCCCGCTGGCGGCCCGCAGGTACAATGCGCGCAAGGCTAAGCTAGAAAGACTTTTATATCACTGGGCATACCTATTTCTTCATGTAGTGCAGCGAATGTGGATATGCATTGTTCGTTCACAGTTGGTCCTGTCGCTCCAGCTGGCGGTTAGGCATGCTATTGCGTACCTCGGCTTTCTTGCGCTCCGCCGCTTCAAGTCGACGGTCCAGGTCAGCGAGGACGTCGGTCTGCGACGCCAGCGACGCTTGCCTGCAAGTAAGTGTTAGAAGCGTACATTTGCTTAACACGCTGCTCCATCGATGTAAGCGCGTCGTGCGTCATCGACACCGGCTCAGGTGCAGGTACATTTGACCAATCACCCTCGGCAATGTTGGCAACATACGCCAGCGGACAGGCGTCCGTGTGCACAGTAGTGGGCTCAAACTGGAAGAGTCGCACCTCGGCATTGGCCCAGTATGACTCGGGCTCCTTGGTCAGGCGACGAAGAAAGTCACCGTGGGCCACGAGCACGATGTGCTGTTCAGGGCGCTCGCGAAGGTACTGGCGTACCCACTGGGCACGAGCATCGAGCGAGTCACTGTGTGCCGCTGTCATGAGTTGCATTCAAAACATACCGTAGAAGCCCTGCTTGCTCGTCCAGTCCGGCGTAAGCAGGCTCAAGTCGTATTTGGAAAAGTACGGCTGCGCTTCGAGCACCTCACGCAGAGAGCCCGTATCACAGGGAACGTCATTGCATTCTAAGGTAAGATGCTCCATGACGCACCTTGGGCCTGAGGCAGGCATACAATCTTTCCATCTCCGCCCAGGCGCTTAATCGCATCGGCATAACCAAGCGACGCAGACTGCAGCGTACGGCGCAAAGGTGACGAAATAATCACCTCGGCCACATCCTGCAGCTCCGGGGTGAGGGACGGGAGTCGCGCAGCTTGCTGCTCGCCGAGCTTGGTCAGCAAGGCATCGGTAATACTCGAGTCGCCCGTGGCATTCTACTGTCAGGCATATGTACATACGTGCTCTGCTTGGGCGTGGCGGGTCAGGTAGATGCGGCTAGTGGGCGCCATGTCGTGAGAGGACCGTGTTGGCTGGGCGCGTCGCGAGTGCGCGCTTGGGCCGGCGTCGTGGGGCCACTCACGTGACATAAGGCCACGCCTCGTCGAAGAAGAGCCCTCCAGCAGGCTACGACGATGCTAGGGCTGAAAGCGCGCATGGCGGTATGTACTGTCAGGCTCATGGCAGATTATCGACAACTCGGGCGGCCTTATTGCTGAGTGCATTAATGTGCTGCGGTACAAGAGCTCCAAGGGTCTGGGCACGGTGGGCGACGAGGTGGTGGTGGTTGTGCAAAAGGCCAAGCCAATCCCCACGAACCAGATTCCTGGCAGCTCAGCGAATACCCTCAAGGTGCGCCGTGGCGATGTGCGCCATGCTGTGATTGTGCGCACCAAGAAGGAGTGCCAGCGCCCGGATGGCCGTGTCGTCAAGTTCGACGACAACGCGTGTGTGCTCCTGAACAACCGGAAAGAGCCGCTCGGCAGCCGTGTGAATGGCGTTGTCTCGAGCGAACTGCGCGAGCGTGGCTGGGGAAAGATCCTTAGTCTGGCGCCCAAGGTCGTGTAGCATGTATATACCGTTTTCCTATCACATGCTATGTCTAGGCAGTGTCGGTCTGCTCGGAGTCCTCGCTCCACTTTTGACTACGTCGCTCTTGGGCGCGGCGGTTGATTTCTTCTGGGGCCAGACTGCGGTGCACACGCTTGCGATGTCCTTTAGCGGCAGTACCGGGTCCCCAGTTCGCCTGCGGGTTCATTTGGTAGCGCACAGCCTTGTTATCCGAGGTCGAACCTTTGATAACGCGGTCCGTGTCTGGATGCTCTGTCTCCAGATCAAAGTCCTGCTTGGTGTCGGGCGTGCCATCGTCTCGCACGCGCGAGAGCAGGCCCTTGGCTGCAGATCCGTCCTTTAGGCGTTCTGGGTTCACCGGATTTGAGCGGATCCATGTCCGGTACAGATCGTACACGTCCGCCCGCGAGGCGTCCGTCTTGACAGAGCCTGGAATACAGTGCGAGCGAGAAACCTGGAAGCCGGCGTTGAGCAATCCATTCCTGCATGTCAGATTTTTGTACATACACAACATTCGCTAGCGATGGGCTCGCACAGTGGAACAGGCCGGCAATCTTGGCAGGGTGGAAGTAAAATGGCGCCTCCAGCTCGTCCATAGCCGTTGTAACCATGCCACGAATCCGGGGCTCGGTGTGGACGGAGTGCTTCCCACTGTCCAGTGTACCTAGCAGCTCCTCACAGAAGGTCTGATCATGAAGCGGCCCAAACCACATGGGCCCTCCCACGTGGAACGTGCCACCGCACTCGGCACAATGGGTATCTGTGGGGGGTCCAGACGCAGAGCCAAACTTCCAATTAGCATGGCCCGTCTTGGAGCTGACGGACTCGGTAGCGCGCCCCATTCGCTGGATATGGAAGGCACTACACCTGGAGCAAGTGTACACCAGACCGGTTTGGGACGCATTCTGCTTGACAGTCTCGGGCCGAGACCAGACTCGTACAAACACACGCAGATAAAAGTCGATGGACAATGAGAGCATGGGCTGAATATAGCGGCCGTACTTGCCGGCGGCCGACGCAATGGCGTGGAGCACAAGACGCAGCGCTGCCTCGTGACTGTACTCTGCCTTGATGCTGACGCCGCCATAGAGAGACCAGCATTTTTCTGGATAGTTGTGGCCGGCCAGGACCGCCAGGTCTGTGCATGTCACACACAGGAGGCCGCCGTCGGTGACCGACTGGACGGCAGCATCCAAAAACGGAGAAGCCGTGCCATACGGGTCCAGATCGACCACATCAAAGCGAAGTGGTGGGTCGCGGTGGCTATACATGAGCGCAATTGCGTCGCCCTGGTTCACTTGCACCTTGCAATCGGGATGAATGGCCAGATTTTCATCGGATGGAGGAGCAGTCTGCGCCTGCTCTTGCCCCTCCGCATCCTCCTCCTTGTCCTTAGCAGCGAGGGGCGCCCATTCATCGATGGGTCTGTCAGGCGGGAAGTTGAGGGCCAAGTTGCGGCGTAGTGCCTGAACAGCGGTAGGCGCCAGGTCGTTGGCCAGTACTGTGCCGAGAAGGGGAATTTCCTTGGCATAGCGAATGCTGCGCAATCCTGTGGCGCTCAGTGCCTCGAGGATCTTGAACTTATACGGGGTGTACTCACGCGGCGCGGCGTCCTCTGTCTTGACTCGCTTGGCCTCTGGCTCGTCCGTCTTGGCACGCTTGCCTTTCTGCTTGCGCTGTCGAGCATCGAAACGTGCACGCTTTTCACCATCCAACATCTGGCTCCACGAAATGATGGCGATCGTGCTCAGGTCGCGGTTGAATTCCTGCACTGGATTCAGAAAGGCCGCCTCCTTCGATGGCATCACAATCGTAGCGCTGTTCTCACGGAATGCCGCTTCATGTGGCTTAATATGAATTCCATGCTTCGCTACCACGTCTGGTGCCAATAAGATCGGCTGGGGTGCCATTCTCTGCCTCACACACGCAAGCGACCAGGAGGAGCCGAGGCGCACAAGACTCATGCGAGCGCGATAGGTCGGTGGGCGTCGTCCTTTTTTTGTGGCACGTGACACTACTTTCTTCCGGCGCTCGACCCTCGTACGACTTTTGCCCATGGCGTCCGACGTGCGAGCGTGCTTTGGTGCGCACATCCTAGACGACGATTTTGCCAAATCGAAGCGTGAGGAGTATGATGCTAGTGGACCGTACCACCATTCTGTGATCCAGGGTCTTATCGACGAGGACCTATTGCGGCGTGCGCGCACGGAGATTGTTGAGGAGCTCCACTTTACCGAGAAGGAGACCGATATCTACAAGGTGAACCAGACGGGCGATCTGGCGAACCTGGACGGTCTGCCGGAAGAGGAGGCCAAGCGTCTGAAGTCGCTACTCCAGCTCCGTAATGCCCTATACTCGGATGAATTCCGCGACTGGGTACGTAAGGTGACTGGGTGTGGTCCGCTGAGTGCCAAGAAGAAGGACATGAGTATCAACGACTACAGCCACGGATGCCACCTTCTGAACCACGACGATGTCATTTCGACGCGCCGCGTGTCCTACATCCTGTACTTGCCGGACCCTGCTACGCCATGGACGCCCGACTTTGGCGGCTCTCTGGAGCTGTACCCCGTCAAAGAGCCGCATGTGCCTGAGTCGGTGCCATCGCATGTGGTCCCCGTGCAGTGGAACCAGTTTACGTTCTTCGAGGTTCAACCGGGCCACTCGTTCCACAGCGTGGAAGAGGTAGTGCACCCGACCCACTCGCGCCTTAGCTTGTCCGGCTGGTTCCACCGCTTGCAGCCTGATGAGCCTGGCTTTTCCCAAGAAGAGGAGGACCGGGAGCTCAAGGCAGAGCGCGAGTTCAGCTCGGTGGGTAGCCTGACGTCGAAGAAGTTCATGGACGCATTTGAAGAGTACGACGAAGACAAGTTCGGTGGCCCGCCGCTGCCAGGCTCGCCCATGTCCTCGGAACATGTCCGTTTTCTCGCACACTTTTTGAACCCGGCATACCTCACATCCAAGATCCAGTCGACGCTCTTTGAGAAGTTTGGTGACGAGTCGCACTTGCTTCTTGCCGACTTTTTGCGCCAGGATGTGGCGGAGCAGGTGGAGAAGGTGCTGCGTGCCAAAGACGAGGAGGATGGTCTCGTCTGGTGGATGTCGGGCGCGGAGCGCGTCGGCTTCGACACAGTACGCATCCAGCCGCACGGCGTCGGCACGTCTCTGGCTCAGACGCCTAGCGCCGAGGACCAGCGCTGGACGCTGCATGGCCCGCCGCACCGCGAGCGTTTCGCGACGCTCAAAGTGGCATGCACGCCAAAGAATGCACCGGCCGTGGACTATGCATCCAAGGCTTCGCCGCTGTCGCCCGTCCCATCGAGCCCGGCCGACCTGCTGGAGATCCTTACGCACCAGCTCTTCCCTTCGGCGGCGTTCCGCCATCTCGTGGCGAATCTCACGCAGCTGATCCCGATGGCCGCGCGCCCGATTCGTGTGCGCCGTTTCCGCCCGGGCTTGGACTACACCTTGGCGCGCTCGGACGACGAGGCCGTGATGGATCTTACGCTGACACTGACGCCCGATGTTATTAAGCGGGCTAGGCAGGCCGTGAAGAAGACGGTGCGCCCTCAGGGCCTGGGCGCCAAGAAAAAGGCGCCCGCGCTTGACAGCCTGCAGAAAGGCGTTTTGAGCAAGGCCGATAAGGACAAGCTCGAGGAGATGTGGGACCGCGGCGACATTGGCGGCTGGGAGTGCTACCTGGCGCCGCACGAGGGCGAGGAAGACCCGGCCGTATACCAAAGTGCTGCCTCGCGGCGCGCGCAGCGCGAGAAGGAGGCGATGGACGAGGGCGAGGCCGAGGCTGCGGAGGCCGACGAGGCCGAAGACGACGACGAAGATATGGACGAGGACGACGACTTTGACGGCGTGCTACTCAATGTGACGCCTGCGTTTAATACGCTGAACGTCGTGCTGCGTGACGAGGGCGTGATGCGCTTCGTCAAGTACCTCGGCGCGAGTGCGGGCGGCAGCCGCTGGGACATTTCTGCCGAGTATACGGTCGGCGCCGCCGAGATTGAGGGGATGGACGAGGCACCTTAATAGATGTATGTACAATGCCACCACTTGCTACATAAGGCTCGTGCGCATCCCCGGCTGTTCGCCTGACGCGCCATCCGGAAAGGTGCCGCTGCGATCGCCCGCAAACTCTTGGTAGATGCGGCGTAAGCGCAGCACCTCCGAGTGAGGCACACTGGGGCGTGTGGTCTGGAAGGACGTCGTCAGGTGGCGCGTGCTCACGAGTCGCTTATCAGGCACAGCGCTCGCTGCACCCGCGCGTGGTGCACGCTGTGTGGTATCGTCGACTTGGAGCATCCGGTGGAACCGATCATGGAGCGCTGCCTGCGCTGCCTGACTCGGCGCGGGGTCATCGCCCGGCGCCAGAGCCACGAACGGCACCGCAAGCGGTGCCGCCGCGTCGGCCTCGCCATCCTGCGCCACATCCGCCTCGGAGGCGCGAATCACCTCGTTAATCGCCTCCAAGCTGGCATTGTACAACAAAGCCTGCAAATCCGCACCCGAATAGCCGTCCGTGCGGCGCGCCCAGTCGTCGAGGTCGACGTCGTCCGCAAGCGCGATCTTGCGCGCAAGTGCCCGCAAAATGTCGGCACGGTCGTCCAGGGAGGGCATATCGCACAGGAGCGACTTGTCGAGACGGCCTGGACGCAGCAGGGCCGCATCAATGAGATCAGGGCGCGAGGTGGCGGCGAGCACGTAGACGCCATCGAGGCCCTCGGCACCGTCCATCTGCGTGAGCAGCTGATTGACGACGCGGTCCGTAACGCCCGTGCTGTCGTGCCCACGCTTCGGTGCAATCGAGTCGAACTCGTCAAAAAACAACACGCACGGCTTGGCCGCCTGCGCACGCTCGAAGAGGTCACGCACCGACTTCTCCGAGGCACCAATGTACTTGTTCAGAATCTCGGGCCCCTTGACACTGATGAAGTGGAGGCCACACTCCTTCGCCACGGCGCTGGCGAGGAGCGTCTTGCCGCACCCCGGGTAGCCATAGAGCAGAAGACCCGAGCGCAGGCGCAAGGGGCAGTTGGCGAAGATCGCCGCATACTTGGTCGGCCACTCGAGTGTCTCGCGGAGGGTCTGACGCGTCGCATGAAGACCACCAATGTCGGCCCACTGCGTCGACGAGTCTTGCAGCTGCACATCACGCAGCGAGAGCGGCGTAAATCCCTCGCGGGCACGAGCAAAGTCAGCCATGTCGAGATCGATGTCGCGCGCCTGCATCAAGCAGCGCATCGTAGCCTCGTGCATCGCACGCTCCGTGAGCGTCTGTAGATCCGCCACATGGTACCCGTCCGTGTGCAGGACAAGCTCGACATAGTCGAGCTCAGGCGGCGGCCGCGCAAGGCGCTCCGCCCTGGCCTGGACGAGGGTGCGGAGAATGTCCGCGCGTGCGTCCTTGTCGGGCGGCTGGATCGCGCACGTCGTGGACCAGATCCGCGCGTTTTGCACCACGGCATGCACGTCGGTGGGCGACTGCGCCGTCGCCAACACAAACACGTCGTAGTCCTGCACGACCTCCTCGACGCGCTCCACCAGTGCGCGCGCCAGGTGGCCGGAGCGCCATGCATCCACATGCTCGCCGTCGGCCGGCACGAGTGTATCGAGATTGTCCAGCACGACCAGCGACGGCGCGTGCCAGGCCGCTGCGTCCATCCACTCTTTGAAGCGCGCGCGCACAAGCGGCAGGCGCTCTTCCACATACTGCGCACAGTCCAGCACATATGTGCGATACAGCAGCGCAGGATCGTGCGCCAGATGCTCGCCGATCGCCTTGGCCACGGTCGTCTTCCCGGCGCCCGAGGGGCCCGTCAGGAGCATGGCACTCGCGCCTGCAAACGGCGACGCACGCACGGCAGGTAAGGCGGCGTCGGGTGGCGCTGCGCCGGGGGCCCAGCGGTCCAGGCGGCCCTGCTCCGTCGCTGCGAGCGCGCGTGCACGGTGCGTACCGCGCACGGCGTCGAGACCAGTGCTGAGCCATGGATTGAGGCCGGCCTGGCCAGGGAGCGTAGCCGCCAGCAGGTGCGCGCCCCCGTCGGGAACACTGGCATCGCGCACGGCACCGGGCGGCGGCGCAGAGAGGCGCACGAGGTCTCCGTCCTGCACGCCGAGCTTCTCACGGAGCGCAGCGCCCATCCACACATGCCGCTCCGGCCACAGCAGATGCGTATCCTCTTCCGGCGGCGCGCCGGCCATGAACGAGGCGCTCGCTGTGGCGGCGGCCGGTGCCTGCTCCGTGGCCGCATCTACCGACGGGCATGCGGCCTGTGTGACGCACAGCTTCCCGTGCTTAAAGGCAAGAGCCACGAGCTCATAGGCCGGCTGCGCGGTGTCCGCGGGGACCATGGCTGCTGGCACGACGAGCGACCAGCTGTGATCCCGCGTGTCGTCTAGAGGAAAGGCAGCAGGGAGCACGCGCCACAGCACGGAGCCGAGGGCCGCCTGGGCAGTGGCGGCGGTAAGAGGGCCGTGCGGCGCAGGCGCCGCACCCAGGATGCTTTTGGGCGGCTCTGCCGCTTCGCGCTCGCGGGGCGCGATGATGACCTCGGTGTCGGTAGATAGGCGCACTGCAATGCTGGCGCCGCCGTCCTCGGCGTCCTCTGCTACAGTGCGCGTAGGCGGCACTGTGCGGTCCACCGCGAACTGTACGACGGTCGAGGCGCTGCGGCCCACGGCAACAGCGAGCACCTGGCCCTGCTTGGCTGCGCGTACCTGCGCGAGCATATTGTTCTCGACCTCATCTGCATGCACGCTGAGGATTTCCCAGTCGTCCGGCGACAAAGGCGACACGTACACCTGCTGCGCCACTGGCACCGGCGGCGAGCGGAAAAGGCGGAGTGAGAGCTCCGTGCCGTCGGTGACGGGCGGCGTAAAGAGAGTGGCCAGCGCGGGGCTCAGCACGACGCACTCGCTCGCGTGCGGGTCACTCAGCACTGATGCGCTGGCGCTGAGGCCTGTCCAGCCGGCATAGTAGGTGTGGTGCTCGGTGCCCAGCTCCACGATGAGCGTCTGAGGCACGACTTGGCGCGCGAGCAGCGTCGAACATAGCGACGCAGGCAGATGCACGATACTCGCGCGCAGCGATGGATCGATGGCTGCGCGCGCGTGCGCAGCCCGCGTGCGCGACGACATGCGAGGATGTGGGGTGGGGCGTGGGGATTCGGGGCCCTGCAGGTGCTAGCAGGGTGTACCACGTGACGTCTTCGCGGGGTCGTCGCAGACTCGTCTGGGCCGTCTGAGCGCAGCGACAATGCGGTGGCTGTCGCGGCGGACGTCGTCCGTCCTGCTGCGGCTCTTTGCGCTATTTTTATTAGGTACAATGGGTTTTCTAGCCATTGTGCGGGCGTATTTCCGCGTCGATTCGAGCGCATACATACTGCCGACCGAGCTTGGGACGCTGGTAGAAATTCGCGCCGGTGCGCGTCCAGGCGTGCTCGATGGGCATCCGCCGCTCCGCCATGCGGAGCAGCCTGTGGAAAAGATCCCACGCGTCATCCACCAGACGTGGAAGACGGAGGAGCTTCCGCCGCGCTGGAAAGAGGTGCGGGAGGCGTGCGCGGCCATGATGCCCGACTATCAGTACATGCTCTGGACCGATGTGAGCTCGCGCGAATTCATCGCGCGTGAATACCCATGGTTCCTTGACACATTTGATTCATACCCCTACAATATCCAGCGTGCCGATGCGATCCGGTACTTTGTGCTGCACAAATACGGCGGAGTGTACATGGACCTGGACATTGGGTGCAGGCGGCGCCTTGATTCGCTGCTGCGCTTCGAGGTCATCGTGCCCAAGACGATCCCGGTGGGCGTCAGCAACGATCTGATATTCTCCGTGCCGCGGCATCCGTACATGGAGTCGCTAATCTACTCCCTCAAGAGCTTTCACCACCACTACCTGACCCACTATGCCACCGTCATGTTCTCGACGGGGCCCATGTTTGTCTCGGCCATGTACCGCCAGTTCGTCAACGGCCATACTGCGGCGGCGCCTTCGACGCCGTCGCAGCCGGGCCGCGGCTTCAGCGGCGTGCGGGTGCTCCCGAAGTCGCTGTATGGCAAGAACCTCGATGAGGACGAGGCGCCCGACTCGTTCTTCCTGCACATGTACGGCAGCTCATGGCATGCCAACGATGCGGGCTTCCTCATCTTCCTGCGCAAGTACGGCTACGCGCTGATCACGCTCGGCGTGCTACTCGTGCTTGTGGGCGCACGACGTACATGCATGTCGGCCGCGACGACCGCGGCACATGCGCTCATGCCGCTCCTCGCGCGTGCCAGACCGGCGCCAAGTGCTCCCACTGGCCAAGAAGAGGAATGGATCCGCCTCACGGACCCGGACGGCAGGCCTGTCGCGGTGTCGCCGCGGAAAGGTCGCCCAGTGCCTTTGGTCTCTTTCTCGTCCCCGCCGTCCAACGAGGCGGGCGCTATGCGCGCGGCCAGCGCCGCGCAGCCTGCACAGATGACACCACTTAGTGTGCCGCTGATCCGGCGGTCATCGTCGCCCCTGCCGGACTATTGCCTGCCGGAGCCCGACTCGCTACCGGACCTGCCGACGCAGGCGGATGGGTCGTCCGGCACGGCGCCCCGTACGTCGCGACTGCGCGGCCTGTCCGAACGGACGCTATCGATGGGCTCGATGCTCTCGCTCGTTCCACCGTCGCTGCGGCGATCCGCGCCGGAGCAGCTGCGCCTGGCGCCCTCCGAGTCGCTGACGAGTGTCGGCGTCGAAGGAGGGCAGACGCGGCCGTCGGCCCCTGGTGCTGCAGGCGACGAGTACAGCGCTGAATGGCAGAATCTGCTGAATCGCTGGGACGGGCAGCACGCTTCGTCACCGTACTTGTCGCCGACGTCGCCCCACTTCCCGACGGCGACGCTCATTGAGGCGAGTGATGCGCCGACGATCGGGCCGCCCACCGCGGGCCTCATGCGGCGCTCCCAGCTGGTCGATGTGCACCGAGCGATGACGCCCGCACTGACGGCGCCGTCTGCGGACGCCGAGCCGCGTCATGATACGCACTTAGCGCCTGTATAGATCTATGGTTATGAGCGGCGACGGTCGACGAGCCCCGACTCCTTGGCGAGTGCATAGAACAGCGACGACGTGCGGCCAAGGAGGTTCGCCGGCGTGTCAAACTCTGCGACCTCGCCCTGCGAGAGGACTAGCACACGGTCCGAGTCCATGATCGTGGCGAGGCGGTGCGCGATCGTAATCGACGTGCCCGAAAACTCCTGCCGCACAATCTGCTGGATCAGCGCGTCGGTCTCGAGGTCGATGCTGCTGGTTGCCTCGTCGAGGACGAGGATGCGAGACTGGCGCACGAGCGCACGCGCGATGCAGATCAGCTGGCGCTGGCCCGCGGAAAAGTTCGTGCCGCCCTCGGCGACCGGGCGCTCGAGGCCAAGCTCGTGGTCGTCGACGAGGTGGGCAAGGCGCGCCTGCTCCAGCGCGCGGTACAGCTCCGTATCGCTGTAGTGCACGAGCGGATCGAGGTTCTGTCGCAGCGTGCCGTGCCACAGCTGCGGGTCCTGCGGAATGATCGCCATCGCCTGGCGCAGCTCGTGCAGGCCGAGGGTCGAAATGTCCACGCCGTCGATCCAGATGCTGCCGGACTCGGCCTCGAGGATGCGGAAGAGCGCAAGCGTGAGCGACGACTTGCCCGCGCCCGTGCGGCCACACACACCGATGCGCTCGCCGGCGCGCGTCGCGAACGAGACGTTGCGCAGCACGAGATCCAGGCCCTCACGGTAGCGCGTCGAGTAATGGCGGAACTCGACCTCGCCGCGCGAGGGCCAGTCGGCCGCCGGCGCCGTCGCCTCGATTGTATAGGCGCGCTCCTGCGGCAGGCTCGCGTACGAGAGCACACGCTCCACACTCACAATGTTCTGCTCGACCTCGGACGCGGAGCGCACGGCCCAGTTGAGCGTCTGTGTCGTGCTGAGCGCCTGCGACAGCATCAGACCCAGCAGGCCTGCGCTCATGCGTCCGCCCGACACCACCATGACCACAGCCAGCGTGCTCGCCAGCAGGATGACCACACTGCCGAGGCACTCGATGCGCACCGCGAGCCACCGGTTGCACGTGACAGCAGGGAAGTAGCACATCTGGTTGCGGTCGACGCGCGCCTCGAAGGCGTCGGCGAAGGCGTGCGCCTGGCCAAATGCACGGATCGTCGAGAGACCGCCAAGCGCCTCCTGGAACCACGTGAAGACGGGCGACTTTGTCACGGCGTCCATGCGCTTCAGCTCGCGGCTCGACGCGAGATAGTAGCGCATCACCGCACGGTACGCCATCGCCAGCGGCACGACGGCCAGCAGGAACGCGGGGACCGAGTACGTCACCACACACACCACACCGAGCACCACGACGGACGAGCGCGTCATGCCCTGGATCACGCGCGGCAGCACCTCGTCGATGACACTGATGTCGCGGCTAAACAGGTTCAGCAGGCGCCCGGTCGGCGTGGTCTCGAACCACTGCAGCGGGTACCGCAGCAGCGAGAGAAACAGCCCGTCGTGGAAGCGTCGCGCACTGCTCAGTACGAGCCACACATAGAGGATCATCGGCGCCACACACACGCCGACGGACGTGAGCAGACCCATCGTCGCGTACAGCCCCAGGTAGTGCCGCGCGACGTGCGGGTCCTCGGAGGCGCCAGGCTGCGCATTGGCCGCGCTCCATTGCTTGAGCACCACGTCGCGCGCCACGGTAAACGCCTGGGTAATGATGTGCGCGACAAAGAACAGCACGACGCCGACCGCCGAGGCGCTGCGGATGTAGCGCTCATACACGTGCCACTGCACCGAGCCCGTCTCCTGCAGCTCCTTGGGCGCCTGCGACTCGCGCAGGTGCCGCAGTGTCTCGCGCTTCAGCTCCGTCTTGGCGAGGGCGCGGGGACGCGGCACATCGCCAGGCACCGCCTTCTCATGCGCAGCCTGTGCCTCCTGCTGCTCGTGCTCATGTGCCTCATCGTCGTCGCTGCGCAGACTCGTAATGACGCGGTACACATCGCCCTTCATCGCCATGACCTCTTCAAAGGTGCCCTGCTCCGGCAGGAGCGTGCCCTGGCGCAGCGTCACAATCTTGTCGCACTGCGGCAGGTACGACACCGCGTTCAGCGTGAGCACACGCGTCTTGTCGCGCAGCATGCCGCGGGGGCCCAGCACATGCTCCCACAGGTGCGCGCCGACATGCGCGTCGACGGCGGCGAGCGGGTCGTCCAGCAAGTATATGTCCGCGCCGGCATAGCACGCGCGCGCGAGCGCCACACGCGCGCGCTGGCCGCCACTCAGGCTCACGCCGCGCTCGCCAATCTCGGTCAGGTCGCCGTGCTCGAGAATCGCGAGGTCAGGACCGAGCGCACACGCCTCGAGACACCGCTGGTAGTGCGCCTCGTCGTACGCACGGCCAAACAGGATATTGTCGCGCACCGTCGCGCCCATGCACCAGCCGCCCTGCGAGAAGTATGCCACCTCGCCTTGCACCGTCACTCGGCCACCCAGGCGCACCATGTCACCCAGCACCGCCGAGAGAAGCGACGATTTGCCATCGCCGACGCGGCCTAGCAGCGCCACGAGCTCGCCGCGCCGGATCGTCAGGTCGAGGTCGCGCAGTGTCGGCGTCTCTGTCTCGTCGACGGACCACGTGAGCGTGGCTTGGCGGAAGCGGATCGCCTCGCCGTTCGGCGGCGGCACGCCCGCCTTGACGCGGCGCGCGCGGCCGTCGAGCTCCTCGGCATCGAAGAACGAGGCGAGGCGCTCGGCTGACACCTGCGTCTGCAGGAACATGGACACAATGCCCGCCAGCATCGACAGCGGGAAGTTGAGCAGCTGGTACAGCGAGAGCGCTGGGAACACAATGTCCGCCGTGAGGGGCTGCGTGCTGGTCGCCGAGAAGGTAATAAAGGTGCCGAGCGACACAAAGAACGGAATCGCCTGCCAGAAAAAGTTGAAGCCGGCGCTCGCCACGCCGATGTTGCGCAGGAGCGGCAGCTCCTCGTCGTTGCGCACTCTGAGCAGGCGGCGTGTGAAGGCCTCCTCCCAGGCAAAGAGCTTGATCGACTTGATGTTAAGCACGATCTCGTTCATCAGACCCGTGCGTCTGTCGCGCACCTTCATCTGCTGCGCGGACAGCTTGCGCAAGTAGTGCGCGAGCGCCGTGTTCAGCGGCACGCTGACGACCATGATCGCCACACCGACGAACGCTGACCAGCCGAGCAGGTTGTACAGCGACACGAAGGCGATCGTAATCTGGAACACGGCCGACCACAGGATGTGCGCGTACATGACAAAGTCGGGCAGGCGGTTCGCGTCGACGCTCATCAAGTTGACCACGTCGCCGGTGCGGCGCTCGCTGCGCGCCTGGTTCGACAGGCGCAGACTCTTGCGGAAAATCGCACTGACAATGCCGGCGCGCGCGCGCATGCCGGCCACGCTCACGAGCTGGAAGTACTGGTGCAGGCTCATCGTCTGGAGCATGGCCGTGACGAAGAGCAGGCCGACGAGCGCAAAGCCGCGCAGCGGCGTGCCGCGCGCCTCCAGCCCGTCCGCCGCCTCCCAGCGGCCGACGAAGGCAAGCAGCGCACGCAGCAGCTGCGGCTGCACAAACGCCAGCACATCCTGCGCGACCTTGAAGATGGCCGCGATGAGAAACGGGCGCCCGAATGAGCCCAGGAGTGTGCGCCAGAAGCGGCGGCGCCCCGAATCGCACAGCGGCTCGCCCTGCTCGAGCGAGGCTTGGGCGTTCGCGACCCAGCGCGCCTGGAACGCGTCGCTGAGCCGCTCCGCGTCCTCGCCATGCGGCAGCGCCCACATGTCGTCCTCGGTGAGGTACCGCTTCGCGCCGAGCGACATGAGCGGCTGCATCCAGTGGAAGACAAGGCGGCTAAATAGGTTCGCCGTCTCGATGGGCGACTCGCGCGGCTGCGCGTCGGGCTCCTCAAGGGTGGTATCCACGGCGCCCTCGTCGACGAGGAGCTCGTCGTCGTCCTCGGGGAGCGCAATCCCGTCCTCGACCTCGACGTTGCAGCACTCGAGGAACAGGGCAAAGAGCACAAAGAGCAAGCGCATACACAGCGGGATGACAGTGAGCAGCTGGATCGCCGAGCCAGGCGCCGCCAGCTGAAGAATAGTGCGCAGGCGGATCGGCCCCGTGAGCATATGGAGCGACCACAGCAGGATCGCGGCGTCAGAGCCGTGGCGCGCGCGCATGTGCATCGTGCGCTGCAGGAAAAAGGCCGCCACATAGGCCGCACACATGGCACCGCTCGCGAGGACCTGCACGCCGCCGGTGAGCGCGGCCGCGCTGCCGTCCACATGGCCGCGGAGGCCGATGAGCACGACAAACTCGACAAAGCCGAGCGCGGCAATGGCGCCCGCCATGCCGTCTTTTTCGTAGAGAAGATGCATGGAGCCCTCGGAGCGCGGTTTCCGCTCGCACCGAAGCCAGCCGGGCAGCGCTCCAAGCGCGGCCGCGCAGAAAGCCAGGGCGGGCAGGAACCACAGTACCAGCGCCTGGAAGCACGGCGTAAGGTCAAAATCGCGCGTGGGCGACATGGGCCCCCAGCCCTCGGCGCTGTCGCAGAGGAGCGAGCTCGCGCGCAGGCCCATGCCTACGGGATGCGCCACCGCATCATATACATGCACAGGCGTCTCGAACCAGAATGTGGCCCCAAAACCGGGGACCCATGCGCCGAGATCGGCCATGGCGCAGAAGCGGCGGCCGCGCACGCCGCGGGTGCCGGGCGACGGCCATGCACACGTGACTTTTTACGGCCCCCTCGCGGAGCGTCTCTCCTGTGCTCGTCATGCTTCTTCCGGGTGGCCGCGTTCACCTGCGCGGTGGCGCGCGTGCGATGCGCGGTGCGCGCGCGTGCCTGGCGACTCATGCTTCGTCGGCGCCACAAGGCGTGCACCCGTCGCGCATGCCGCGGTACGCCGAGCTGGTCGACCAGCTGCGCGCTGTGCGCCCGCTGCTGGGCGATCGCCCCCTGACGCTGGCTGAAAAGATCCTGTACACGCACCTGCTCGATCCGCAGGCCGACCTGGCTGGCGCCGGCAAGGACGCGAGCGCGATCCGCGGCTCGCGCTACCTGAAGCTCAAGATCGACCGCCTGGCCATGCAGGACGCCTCGGCGCAGATGGCGCTGCTGCAGTTCATGACGTGCGGGCTCGCCCAGGTGGCGGTGCCCGCCAGCGTGCACTGCGACCACCTGATCCAGGCGTACGAGGGCGCGGCCGTGGACCTGCAGCGCGCGGTCCACACGCAGCACGAGGTGTTCGCGTTCCTCGAGTCGGCGTGCCGCAAGTACGGGCTCGAGTTCTGGCGCCCGGGCAGCGGCATCATCCACCAGATTGTGCTGGAGAACTACGCGGCGCCGGGCCTGCTCATGCTCGGCACGGACTCGCACACGCCGAACGCCTCGGGTCTGGGGTGCCTCGCGATCGGCGTGGGCGGCGCGGACGCGGTCGATGCGATGACGGCGACACCCTGGGAGCTGCTCGCGCCCAAGGCGCTGGGTGTGCACCTGCACGGCAAGCTGTCGCCGTGGTGCTCGGCGAAGGACATCATCCTGCACCTGGCCGGCCGCCTCACGGTGCGTGGCGGCACGGGCTACGTGGTCGAGTACTTTGGCGAGGGCGTCGCGTCGCTGCCCGCGACGGGCCTGGCGACCATGTCGAACATGGGCGCCGAGATCGGCGCGACTACGAGTGCGTTCCCGTTCACGGCGGCGATGGGGCGCTACCTCGAGGCGACGGGCCGCGCGCCCGTTGCGCGGGCGGCTGCCCAGGCCGCGGACGCGGGCCTCCTGCGGGCGGACGCAGGGGCTGAGTACGACCAGGTGCTCGACATCGACCTGTCGACGCTGGAGCCGAGCCTGAACGGCCCCTTCACGCCGGACCTGCATGTGCCGCTCTCGCAGTTTGTGGCGCGTGCGCGCGGCGACGACGCGCCGCACCCGGTCGAGCTGAGCTCGGCGCTGATCGGGAGCTGCACGAACAGCAGCTACGCGGACATGCGCCGCTGTGCGGACCTCGCGCGCCAGGCGACGTCGCGTGGCCTGCGCGCGCAGGTGCCGTTCGACGTGACGCCCGGCTCGGAGCAGGTGCGTGCGACCATTGCGCGCGACGGGATCGAGGGCGAGCTGGTGCAGGCGGGCGCGCGCGTGCTGGCGAATGCGTGTGGCCCGTGCATTGGCCAGTGGAAGCGCCCCGAGAAGCAGGGCGAGACGAACGTGATCGTCACGTCCTTCAACCGCAACTTCCGCGGGCGCAACGACGGCAATCCCCACACGCTGCACTTCCTGGCCGCGCCGGAGATTGTGACGGCGCTGGCGTTCGCAGGCCGCCTCGACTTTAACCCGATGACCGACGCGCTGCGTGCGCCTGACGGCAGCGAGTTCCGCTTCGCGCCGCCGCCGTACGAGGAGCTGCCCGCGCGTGGCTTCACGCCGGGCGACGAGTCGTACCTGCCGGCGCCGATGCCGGCGCCGCAGCCGGACGTGCAGGTGGCCATTGACCCCGCGAGCGAGCGCCTGGAGACGCTGCAGCCGTTTGAGAGCCACTTTGCGCCGTCGGCGGTCGCACAGGGCCGCTACGAGCTGCCAGCGATGCGGTGCCTGCTGCGCGTCCGCGGCAAGTGCACGACGGACCACATCTCGGCGGCGGGCCCGTGGCTCAAGTACAAGGGACACCTGAGCAACATCGCCGAGAACACGCTCATGGGCGCGACGAACGACGAAACGGGCTCCGTGAACGACGCGCACGACTTTGTGCCGGGTACGGACGCGGCGCCTGCGCGCACGACGATTCCCGCCCTGGCGAAGCGCTGGAAGGAGCGTGCGCAGCCGTGGATGCTGGTCGCCGACCACAACTACGGCGAGGGCAGCGCGCGCGAGCACGCGGCGCTGCAGCTGCGCCTCTACGGCTGCGGCCTTGTGCTCGCTCGCAGCATGGCGCGCATCGCCGAGACGAACCTGCGCAAGCAGGGCGTGCTGACGCTGCTGTTCGAAAACGAGGACGACTACGCGAAGATCGGCGCGGGCGACATTGTCGAGACGGTGAACCTGAGCGAGCTCATGCGGCCGGGCGCCGACCTCTCGACGCAGGTGCGTGTGCGTGTGACCAAGCTCGGCGACCAGGGCGAGGTGCGCGCGCAGTTCGAGCTGCCGACGCGCCACTCGCTCAGTGCGACGCACCTTGCGTGGATCCGCGCGGGCTCGGCGCTCAACTGCATCCGCGCGAAGGTCGGCGCTGTGCCTGCACCGCGTGCGCCCAGCGGCGTACGCGCCTTCTCGACGTCCGCGGCGCGCCGCGCGGCGCCGCCGGCGAGCACGTCGGGCAACGACCCGCGGTACGAGACGCTCCGCTCGCTGCTGTTCCCCGCGCCGGGCGGCAAGAAGCAGGCGGGGCCACGCACGATCGAGGACGCCGTCGGGCAGGGCGCCGCGTCGCGTGAGGTGTACGAGACGGTGCAGCGCGCGTGGCAGCTGCATGAGCGGCGGCGCCGCGAGGCGTGGACCGCGTCGCTCGTGGCGAAGCGCGCGCGCCTGGACGAGGCGCTCGCGAGCCTCTACGAGGACGACCGTGCGCTGTGGAAGCAGGCCGTGCAGTATGCCGGCCCCACGAAGCGCCACGCGGACGAGCAGCAGCGCCTGCGCAACCTGGGCCTCGCGATGCGCGCCGAGGCCGCCGAGGGCGACGCGCCGGGCAGCCGCCTCCTGGCCAAGCGCCGCGCGCGCCTCATGGCGCGCACGCGTCTGGCGACGCTCTTCCCCCGCGAGCTGCGTGCGCCGACGCTCACGCCGCCCGCCCACGGCTGGCCGGCGTATGTGCCCGACGAGGAGTAGCTACATAGCCCGCCTACTGCTCATACTGGCGCACCTCCATGCCCTGGGGCGCCTGCACCGGCACCGTCTGGCGCCCGACCTCGGCCCAGTTGGTGCTGAGGGCCGTGCCGCCCGACTCCTGGAAGCTCTTCACCATCGCGCGCCGCGTGTCGGGGTCCGCATCCGCATACAGCTTCTGGAAGAACGCCTGCAGCTCGGCGTCGCCCGAGCCGGCCGGCGGCGCGTCCTCGTCGACGTCGAGGCGGTCCCACTTGGACGCGCGGCGCGGCGCGGCTTCCTGCGCCGCAGCACTCGCACTCCCTGCACTGCGCTTCGAGAGCGTCACCTCAACCTTCGCGGGCACGACGCGCACGTCGCGCACGTCGCTCACTGGCACCGGCAGCGGCACCGTGCACGTCGCGTCCGGCGTGCGCACAGCCAGCTCATCGCCGTGCAGCGCCACATGCACGCGCTCGGCCGCCTGGTTCTTTACATAGACACTCACAACGACCGACTCGGCCGTCTGGTAGCAGTCATGTCTGTGTGAGGCAGCGCGACGTACCGCGGAACGGGGGACGCCGTGGCCATCGAGGCACTCGAGGAACGCAGTGGAGGCCGTCGTCCGCCGTCTGCCGCTTGCGCCTCGGTATGGACGCGCCAGGCCGGACCGCTGTGGCGCTGGGCACGGCGCTCAAGGTGCTGCTGTGGCCCGCGTACCACTCGACCGACATGGAGGTGCACCGCAACTGGCTTGCGATCACGCACCAGCTCCCCCTGCGCGACTGGTACGTCGAGGCCACGTCGCCCTGGACGCTTGACTACCCGCCGTTCTTTGCGTACCTGTCGTGGGTCCTCTCGGTGCCGGCGGCCTGGGTCGATGCCAACATCGTGCGCATCGATGCGCTTGACTACGAGGCGTGGCCGTGCGTCGCGTACATGCGCGCGACGGTGCTTGCCACGGAGGGCGTGCTCGCCGTCGCGCTGGCGCTCCTCCTGCGCACGGCGCCGCACGACAGCGCCCTGCGCGTGTTGCTGGTCGGCGTGCTCCTGCATCCCGGCCTGCTGGTCGTGGACCACATCCACTTCCAGTACAATGGCTTCCTCTTCGGCGTCCTGTTCCTGGCCCTCTGGGCCGCCCGCGCGGGCCGCCCGGTGCTGGCCGCCCTGGCGTTCTCGTCGCTCCTCCAGCTCAAGCACCTGTTTGTGTGCATGGCGCCGGTGTGGACCGTGTACCTCCTGCGCAGCTACCTGCTGCCTGTGTGGCCCGCCAGCCCCGCGGCGTGGAGCGCCCTGCTCGACCGGACCGTCAAGCTCGGCACCGCCACGCTCGCGCCCTTTGCGCTGAGCATCGTGCCGTTCGTGCTCAGTGCCGTGGACGGCGACGTCGCGCCGTCTGCCGTCCTGCGCGCCATGTACGCGCGCCTCTTCCCCTTCGACCGCGGGCTCATGCATGCCTACTGGGCCCCCAACGTGTGGGCGCTCTATGCGGCCGCGGACCGCGTCCTGCTGCGTCTCCAGGGCCGCACGCTCGCGTCGGCGTCCCGCGGCCGCGTCGGCGACACTGTGTTTGGCGTACTGCCGGCCATTTCGCCGGGCGTGTGCTTCACTCTCGCGCTCGGCGCGGCGCTCGTGTACATGGTCCCGCTCTGGCGCAAGCCCAGCTTCCGCCACCTCGTCGTGGCTCTGACGCTGTGTGCGCTCACGTCGTTTGCCGTAGGCTGGCACGTCCACGAAAAGGCCGTCCTCCTCGCGGCCCTCCCCTTCAGCCTCGTCGCGGGCCACTCGTATGCGTACTGGCGCACCTTCCAGCTCCTCTCGGCGACGGCCATCGTGACGCTCTTTCCCCTTTTGTATACGCACCTGGAGACGCCCGTCAAGCTGCTGTACGCGTACCTCTGGTACACCGTCCTCGTGCGCCTCCTCGGCCGCCGTATCTTGCGGCCGATGCCCTCGAACCTTGGCGAGATGGTCCACTGGCTCGAGTCGCAGTACCTGCGTGGCCTCGCCGTGCTGGCGCTCGCTACCAATGTGGTGTGGCCCTTGCTCGCGGCTCTGCAGCCACACTGGTCGCCCCCGTCCATGGCGTTCCTCCCGCTGCTGCTGACCAGCGTGTACGGTGCACTGGGGGTCGTCTATGTGTGGGTGCGCCTGTCCGTCCTGTACCTAGCGGACATGGACTCTACATAGCTACCAGCCGCCCCACTCGTCATCGCGCCGTCCTAGCAGCGTCGCCGCCGGCGTGGACGGGCGCTGCGCCCGGCCCACGTCCACAATTTGCACCACACCCGTGTCGGCCCGCGCAGCTGGTGGCGGGGACGGCGCACGAGGGGCCGGCCCCGGCGTCTTCGCAGGCTCGGCGACAGGCGCATCCATATCTAGCTCGACTGCCTTGCTGCTCTTCTTCCGCCGCGTTTTCTTCGTCTTGGGGGGAGCAGGCGCCGCCGGCGCAGGCGGCTCAGGGCTCTCTGGCGCCTCGGCCTCGCGCGGCGCCGCAGCGCGCCGCTTCGGCCCCCGCCCACTGCGCTTGCGCGGCTTTTTGGGCTCAGCCACGCCGTGCACCTCAGCAGGCGGTGCGTCAGTTTTCCGCCGCTTGGATGGTGTCGGCGCGGACGCCGCTGGGCCCTTGTCTTGGGGCACAAAGAAGGCGTCACGGGACGCAGGCGCCGCTGACTCGTCGCGCGTCCGCTTCGCATGCGCGGGCGGCGCCTTGGCACGCTTCGACGCAGTCATGGCTGGAGCGGCCACCTCGCGCGGGCGAGACGCACGGGGCATCGGAGCGGGCTCGTCGTCTTCCTTGGATGCACGCACCACGTCTGCAGCTGGTGCATCGTCCGTGTCTGGCGCAGCCTGCGTGCCCTTTTTCGGGAATAGACGCACATGGTCGAGGATGCGAAGGGCCGGCAGCGCGGCGCACAGTTTTCCGCGGTACTCGGCGTCATCAGCGATGCCATTACCTTTGGCCACAAGGTTCGCGAGGCCGTGCCGCTCGGTCTGCTGCGGCATGGTCACAAGTGGCTCCACGGCCTCCCACGCATCGAGCCCGCAGTCGCTTACATCTAGGAGCACGAGCCCAGGCGCCCCGCCATCGACGCCACGCCCCCACGAGGACAAGTGTGCGGGTAGCACACGCAGCGATGAGTTGCCGCCGAGACGCACTTCGCGCAGGTTCGAGCACACGCTCCAGTCCGGGAGGCCGCCGCCTTCGAGGCGGTTGTGGCCCAGGCTCAGCTTCTTTAGGCTCGGAAGGGAGCTGGGCAGTGTGGCAGGCAGCTGCGTCAGCTCGTTGTTGGATAGCACAAGTGTATTAAGTTCGGGCAGGTGGGGAAATGCAGCGGGGAGGGCGGCGATATGGTTGTGCGACAGGACGAGGGCCTTGAGGCCGCGCAGCGCGCTGATCGCAGGGGGGAGGACCTTGAGCGCACAATGCGACACATTCAGCACTGCGTGAGTCAAGCCAGCGTACCGTTCAGAGCCTCCATCAGCTCGAGGCCATCCAAGTCATCGTCGCGGCTGCCTAGCGCCGCGTTACTTGCGACGTTGAGCCATGTCAAGCGCTGAGAGAGAGGCAAGGCGCCATCCCGGGCCCGCTTCTTGCTCAAACGCTCAGCCTTGGCAAGCCAGTGAAGGTCGTTTAATCCTGACGGTGCATCGTCCGACGCCTGCATATCCGACACGTCCAAGCGCCGCAGCTGCATGAAGCGTGCGAGCGTCTGGGCCACCGCCGCAGGCGGCGGAAGCGCATGCCCGGCGAGGGACAAGGAAGTGCGTGCTAGCACATCGGACACGTCGTCCGAGGGCTCCGGCCCCTGTGGTGCCTGCTCGTTGGGGGGCCGCCGCGCCTCTGTGCTTCGACCCATGGCAAGAGACAGCCGCCGAAAATTCGAGGCCTCCACTATGGCTACCACTCGAGCGAGGACGCTACGGCTGGCTCGTCCTTGGCCACAGGCACGCGGCCCTCCCCGCGGTCCACGGTGCCGTCGACATAGTACACTGGCACACGCTTGCTCAACGTCTTCTGGTCGACCTTTTTGTAGGACGGACAGAGGCGAGCGCGGCCAATCGCGCAGAGGCTTTCATGAGTAGAGGACACGTACTCGCAGCGCGGGCTCACCGGCAGGCAGATCACCTGGCCAAACCCAACCATGAGCTTATTGATTTCCGTATGGTACTTTGGTTAGTCGTGCAGCGTACCTGCTTGGGAAGCCAGCTCTGCAGCGCCAGGCGCGTCTGCTCGGGTGTCGTCGTCTTGCACCAGCGCAGGCGGTTCGAAATGCGGTGGACATGCGTATCCACGCCGATGCCCACATTGAGGCCCATGCTTTGCATCTGCAAGAAGGCCATCTTGGGGCCGACGCCAGGAATCTCGCACAGCTCATCGACGGTGCGCGGCACATCGCCCTCCCACCGCTCCTGCAGCATGTGCGTCATTTTGCGCAGGTACTCTGTCTTTCTCCGGTAAAAGCTTACTTTGCCAATGCACTCCATGATTAGATCGTCGGGCGCATTTTGCATGGATGCCAGCGTGAGCCCGTCGTCCAGCTTGGTCTGCAGCTGGTGCACCGCGTTGGCTGTCACAGGATCTTTCGTTTGCGAGCTGAGCATCAGACTCACGAGCGTCGTAAATCGCAGCCGTTTCGCCTTCTCATCTTCGCTTTCTTCCATACCGTCCTTGCGCCGCCGTCCACGGTCGGCGCGCCGCTCTTCCTGGCCATTCTCCTCACAGCCCATCGTATCCACAGGGGTGATAATCTCCTTGCGCTGGTACGCCAGCAGCTCGTATACGCGCTCCCAGTTCTTAGGCACCTTGATCTTGCGTGCCTCCTCATCGCTCAGATCCATCTTGATTTTCTTGCTCGGCGACGCCCTGGGCGAGGGCGGCCTCACTCGATCCAGCGGCGCCTCCTCCGACTTGACAGAGGTGTGCATCTGTCTTGCTTCGTGGCGGACCGATCTCCGAGCTAGCTGCGTCAGCTACTCGTCTACGTACTGCTCCGGGGCGCTAGGCGGTCCAGATACGCCTTCCAGCCAGCATCGCGGTAGCGCTGCGCCTGCGCGGTCACCTCCGACATGGCCTGCTCGCGGTCCATGTCCGGCTTGAGAAGGGCGCCATAGATGCCACGGCCTACAATCATGACATCACAGCCGCTGTCCTGAATCACTTCCTTCGGGGTGCGGTATTGCTGGCCCTTGCCGTCGCCCTTCACGTCCAGTCCGACGCCGGGTGTGAGAATGAGCAGGTCCTTCTGCCGCTGGGCCTCGGTCATGCCCTCTGGCATATGGCTCGGGTCCTCGTGCACGCGGTGCATCGCAATAAAGCCCATCACAAAGTCTGATGCGTCTTCCATCGCCGCCTTCACGTTGGCCGTGGTATATGCCCCGGTCGTGAGGCTACCCTTCGTGCTCATCTCGGCCAGCAGGAGGAGGCCGCGCTGCAGAGGCAGACCTACAGAGGCAAGGCCATCAATGATACCCGGGCCGGGCACAAGGTGCGCATTGGTGATGTGCGACCAGCGTGCGATTTTGTGCACGCCGGCCCCGTACTGCAGACTCACTGTGTTTCCGATGTCGGCGAATTTGCGGTCCTCGAAAATGAGAAAGTTGTGTTTCACACTGAGCTCGGACAGTTGCTCAATGAGATCCCAGTCAAAGTCCTCGATAATGTCAATGTGCGTCTTAACCAGCGATACGTAGGGGCCCACAGCATGCACGATAGCCAGCAGGTCCTCTTTGCGAGTCACGTCCACACTAACGCAGAGATTCGACTGCTTCCGAACAATTGTATCGAGCAGTCCCTTGGCACACGCGTTCGGGTGTCGTGCCGCGCGCGCCTCGTACGTGAGCGAAGCGGACATGAAGAGCGGAGGGCCGCCGCTGCCGTGAGACGAAGTCTGCTTATGTAACAAGTGTCGCGGCGTGTACCTCGCTCCAACACCGCCGCTGCTGCAGCTCATGTCGGCGAATGTGAAGGTAGTGGCTCGGTATGTGTGGCTGGACTCATCCACAGGTTTCGACCAGTGAGCTCTCATACCGAAACTGTAAATAAGGGCGACGATGCAATCGTCGTGTCACACGATGATGAGGCGTCTGTGCGCGTCACATACGGCACCGGCTCCCATTTCGTGTTCGACCGTGTATTCCCTATGCACACGCCTCAGGTCGACATTTTCGAGTATAGCATCAAGAATACCGTCGAAGATGTGCTACAGGGCTACAATGGTACTATCTTTGCGTACGGCCAGACTGGCTCCGGCAAGACCTACACCATGATGGTACGCGCAAGCCGCTGACGCCAGGGCCCCGATATCCAGGATGAGCACAGTCGCGGCATTATCCCGCGACTTACCGACCAGATATTCCAGTCTATCTATGCGAGTCCACCGATGATCGAATATGTCGTCAAGGTCTCGTTTATGGAGATATACATGGAAAAGATCCGAGATTTGCTGGCGCGTGTGTACACTAGCATCACTAACGAAAGTGGATCGCGACAATTTGCCAATCCAGGAAGACCGGACGAAGGGTGTGCATGTAAAGGGGCTCTCTGAATACTACATGAGCAGCCCTGACGAGGTGTACGAGATGATTCGACAGGGGACGGCTGCGCGCGCCGTATCTGCGACCAAAATGAACACAGAGTCGTCTCGCTCTCACAGCATATTCACGGTCACCGTTCAGCAACGGCACACGGAGACCGGGGCCAGCAAGAGTGGCACCTTGTACCTGGTCGACTTGGCAGGTTCTGAGAAGGTGGGCAAGACCGGCGCCAGTGGGCAGACACTCGAAGAGGCCAAGAAGATTAATAAGAGCCTGAGCACACTCGGCATGGTCATCAATGCTCTTACGGATGGCAAGTCATCGCACGTGCCCTACCGTGACTCCAAGCTGACACGCATTCTGCAGGAGTCCCTGGGCGGCAATTCCCGGACCACGCTGATTGTCAATTGCTCACCTGCTGCGTATAATGCTGAGGAAACGCTCTCGACACTTCGATTCGGCATGCGAGCCAAATCGATCAAGAACAATGCGCGTATCAACGTGGAGCTTTCTCCAGCGGAACTTCGGGAGCAGCTGAAGAAAGCGTCGGTACAGAGTCAAGGGCTCAGGCGCCATGCTGACCGGCTAGAGCAGGAAGTGACGGAATGGCGTGCGGGACGCGCAGTGCCAGAGGATACGTGGACGCCACTGCTTATGGACGGGCATACTATTGCGTCCATGAATGCCAAAATACCCGCGAATACAGATACCAACAGCCAAGCCGAGAGCGTTTCAGCCCCCATGCCGACGAAGAACGAGCTAGAACGTGAGCAGGAGCTGGAACAGCGAACGCGACTGCTTGAATCCCAGCTTAGTGAGGCGCGCATCAAGCTGGATCAGGTCTCTTTCCATAACAAGGACCTTTCTGACCAAGTGTCAATGCTGGAAAAAAAGGTGGCTACCACCGAAGCGGCTGCTGCTGCTGCTGCCAGTGCTGCCGGCAAGTCGACGCGGGAAGAGCGCGTGAAAACAATGTTACAGTCAATGGGAGAAATGTCTGTGCCAGTTGACGCCGTACTTGAGCTCGTCGAGCGTCTCCGAGTTGCTTGCCGTGCTGGTGGCCCTATACCATTGTCACTCAAAGAGCTGCAGTCTCTGGAAAACGCATTGATGCACTCTCAAGTGGCCCTATCCGAGCAGATTCAGCACGGCCGGATTCTTGCCCAGGAGAATGCGCTGCTGCAGAACCAGAAGTCAGTATTGAGTGATCGAAACGCCGCGTTGCAGCAACGCTATGACCTAATCACCAACCAAATCGGCGCCTTGGAGCATGGCCTCCGTGTCGGTGATGAAAATGCAATGCAGTTGGCCGAGCTGCGTGACATGTTGGAGGAGCATACGTCCGCGCAGAAGCTCAGCACGAGTTCTGAGGCAACACACTTGGAGCAGCTGCTGGCGATCCGCAGCGAGGAGACGGCCGGCTTGACCAGGTCCCTGGATGATCTGCGCGCTAGTCACGAGGAACAACGCAGAGCCATGGAGCTGCTTAGTACCTCGCTAACTCAGGGCGAATCGGCGGGCCCTGATCCGGCCGTGGTCCAAAGACTGGTGGATGCGTCATGGCAAATGGAGCGGGCACGCGAACTTGTGACACTGCGCTTGCGCGAGTACGAGCGGTTGAAGGAGCAGCTCATGCATGGCCTCAAGGAGCGCAGTGAGCGGATTGTGGATATGGAAATGGAGCTGGAGCAGACGCAGGACCACTACCGTCTCCTCATCCAAAGTCTCAATCTAAAGACTCAGCAGCAAAAAATGTCTCTTCTCGAACGGCGTCTCGAGCAGCTTACAGTCGTGCAGCAGCGTTTGATCGAGCAGAACACGACGCTGAAGCGGGATGTGGCGCTGGCGGAAAAACGGCTCGCCGCGCGGACCGAGCGTATTGAGGAGCTCGAGGCAAACCTTGAAAATTTAGAGCCTGCTTGGCCGAACGGGTCCGATGTACATGCGCGCATAGCTAAGCCGCTCCGAGGTGGTGGGCGGGGGAAGCTGGGCACACCCAGCCAGGCAGAGGCGCACGGCCGCGCTTCCCCCACCAAGCCGAGCCGGTGGTTTTTTGCGGCGAAGTAACTCCACATAGATAGCTCGCACCTACCATGACGGACGCGATAAACTTTCATGACGCGAGCATTGACGAGATCCTCTCGTTGGACCGAATCCGTGCGACACTACAGCGGATGGAAGAGACAATTGTGTTCCGACTCATAGAGCGTACACAGTACGCCCACAACCCTCTCGTGTACCAAGAAGGCGCCTTTGCGGAGCTGCGCGACAAGGAAGGGTGGAGTGGCTCCTGGCTTACCTGGGTGATCAAGGAGACGGAAAGCTCGTATGGTACGTCAGTTACGCTCACGTAGCGAAATTGGGACGGTGGCTTGCGTATGTATTCAAAGCTGACCTAGTCCGGATGAACACCCCTTTACGCCGATGGACCAGCTGCCCCCTCCGCTGCTCACTCCCCAGGACTATCCGAGTATATTGCATCCACACCATGTAAATGTATCGCATGAAATTCTAGACTTTTACACGAGCGACGTGGTGCCTGTGATCACGAATCGTATGCACCGGTCCACGGACGACCGCCAGTATGGCTCTGCTGCGGTGTGCGACACAGAGGCGCTCAGTGCTATTTCGCGGCGCATCTACTTCGGCATGTTTGTGAGTGAATCCAAGTTCCGCGCGGACCCTGGCGCTTTTATCCCCCACATCCAATCGCGCAATACTGAGGCCTTAGCTGGCCTGATCACCAAGCCAGCCGTGGAGCAAGTGCTGCTCCAGCGTGTGGGTCAGAAGGCGGAGGTGTATGGCCAGAACCTTGACCCTGTGACACACGGAAATGCGAATCTACGGAAAATCCAGTCGCAGGACATTGTGCGTCTGTACCAAGAATACATTATTCCCCTGACGAAGAAGGTGGAAGTCGACTATTTGCTCGAGCGGTACGTACAGTGCACCTCATATAAGGCTCGATGGTCTGTCACAGGAAGACATTAAGCAACTTGTGCACTCATAGAATCGAGCGGCATAGCGGACACGTCGATGCACCGCTAGTGCTAACCCACTTGTACAGGCAGCTTCCATGGAACTTGTGCTTGCATGTTTTGCATGGCTTGTTGGGCAGTGTCTCGTCCGTCGGACTAATGATCGAGTAGCAAATCGCACACTCGGCGCCTTCATAGCCCTGGAACTTGGCCTCAGCATTCTTCTTAAAGAGGCTCAGCGCGTCGAAAATAAGCCCATTCTTACCGCTAAGCAGCTGCTGCACAGCGAGGAGCCATGCGCGCCACTGTGCTTCACTCACTCCCACGCGCTTGATATCGCGGATCTCGACACCGTGTAATGGATAGTCAGGTGGAAGACGCACACCGATTTCCATAGGATGCTCGTCAACAGTGTACGTCGCGACCACTTCATTCGACGATAAAACCTTCACAGTCATGGCCTCGTCCTGCAGTTGCGCTAGCGCACTAGGCTGGCGCAGGTGGCGGAGCTCGCGCTCGGCCAACAGGGGCGTGCAATATTTGACAGTAAAGTGGCTCACAAACATCGACAGCTGGCGGTCGCGAATACCGAGCCACCAGTCGCGAACCTGCGTAGGCAGATGTACCAGCGTCCGGACATACACGTGGGCAGCGAGTACCTGCAGGCTGCGCGGCTGCGCTGGGTCGAGCTGATCCACATGTATCTCTTCCATGGACCAGCGCGACCCATCCAGTGTAGGAATCACCCGGGGAGCACCGCCGATCAGTGCAAAAAGACTGGGCAACAAGACATTGCTGGTGAGCTCATGCTGCTTCAGCGTGCTGGCAAACAGCGAGCGCAGTGCCAGTGACGCTTCCACAAAGTGATCCAAAAGCGCCAGCCATTGTAGCAGAAAGGCAAAAACACGCGATTGGCGCTCCCGCGCATCATCCTGCCAGATGGCCAGCGTCAGAGGCGCTGTGGCACGCAGACGATCGAGCAAGGCAGGATCCAGCTCAGGTGCCGCGGATGCCGAGCTTAAAGATCCCATCGACAACTCGACCACCTGCTCTCGCACGCGCTCCTGCGTAGCTCCGCTGTAGAGGCGTAGCGCTACGACCTGCAAGGGCGTGTAGAGGGAGGGTGTACTCACAAACTTGATCAAGTCCTGCTGATCGTCGGGCGATGAAAAGGCCGTGGCTGGCACATGCGATTCCACCAGGCGTATGAGCATATCCACCCCCTCGGACGTGATGGGGCCCAAAGGCAGGCGGCGCTCCACGGCAATTTGGCACAGGTCCAAAAACAAGGCACTGAGCAAGCCGTGGATTGTCTCAGCCTGAGTCCGCAGAACCTGGCTCACTAGCTCATTCGACTGCAATCCGTACAGTGTATCGATCAGATGCAGGCTTTGGCTCAGCGCAGGCCAGTGGCGGATGCCTGTCAAGTCCAACGTCTCCAAGCTTTCATGGGCAAGCACCAGCATGCCCTCGAGGTGTCGGCCAGGCACACTCTGCAAGACAGGCGCAAGTTCCGCGAGCACAGCAGCTGAGAGAGCTAGTACATCTTGTGGGTATTCCTCCTCGCTCTCGACCCATCGCTGCAGCACCTGGGCCAGTTGAACGGCCCTGTGTGTGGGAAGCAATGCCTTCCCGGCCTCAGCAGGAGCCGTGGCACACATAAGCGCTTGCAGCAGCGGCGCGCCGTCTGTGTGGGCCCGCGCGGCAGGGACTCCAGTAAGTGTCGCAGCCAAGTCATTGCGCCAACGGTCGTGTGCGGGCGAATCAAAGGCACGCAAAGTCGTAGCGGCCAAAACAGCCCGCGCTAGAGGCAGTGAGGGCTGTCGCAGGTTCATCCCCGCGCGGACCCAGCGCTCCGCGTCCATTTGAGTGGCTGAGCTCATGGACAGTACACCTGCAAGGAGACGTGCAAACAGACGTGCATACATGACCGACTGTGTCTCTTTCGCTTGCAGCCATAAAGCTTGGAACATGTGCAACAACGGATCGCCCGACTCAGTGCGGCCCATAGCGACTGCCGCCGAGTTATGCCATCCATCACGCAGGTCCGCTGTGACAGTGGACAAGAGGCGAGTCACGGCGTGCACATAGCGCACCAACTGCTGCTGCGCCGTGGTGACCCATGCCGCAGGGGGAGTACCGCAAAGTGCGAGGCCCATTGCCTCATCGCCCGTTAACAGTGCATCTTCCAACACGAGCGCCGTGAGCACAATGGGTGGAAGCAGAGCCGTTGGCTGCACAGCCTGATCTGCCTGCATCGCCATGCCCATTTCCACGACTCGCGCCAGGCGTGCAAGGCTCTCTGTGGACGCAGGCGACCCGTCCGCAACAATGGGCACAACAGGATCCGTAAGGGCAAGGAGAGGACTGGGCACCGACAGAGCGACGCCATGCATAGCGTCCTGAAGATCCGAGGCAGTCGGGCATATTTGGCGCCCGTATGCATCAGGCAGAGCGCGAGCCGCTGCACTTAAACGCGCCAGAGGCACATTGCTGCCCTCTAAAGCCGCTCCCAGAGCTTCGACGGCCTGCTCGTACAACGCTGTGGCACGCGGCCCGGCATGAGCCGTTAGCTGCGCCCAGAGCGAGCGGGGCGCGCCTGCATCCTCGGTCTCTGCGAGAAAGGCGGCATGGAACAGAGCCGACGCAAGAGGCGCAAGGGCTGGGTCTTCAACAAAGCGCCGAGATCGCGCTGAGTCCCGTTGCACCCAAGTGGCGAGCGTGTCCCAAGCCTCGAGTTGCTTTGCAGGCTGATCTTGCGCCGCTTGGACAAGCGCTTGCAAAAGGAGTGTCTCCATCGAAGCAGTCGTGAGCGCATGGGGCGCCTCGAGCAGACTGTGCCAAGCGTAAGGGTCTTGGGCCACAGACTGCGCAATGTTCTCGTGCCACGCCTGCACCGTCTCGGGTGGGGGCGGCTCTGAGGTCGCAGAAGCAACGCCCGCCAGCAATGGGAGGGCCATCGTCGGAGCTTGGGCAGCAGTGCGGAAGAGCACATGCCATGTAGGACCGACCTGGTTGCCCAGTGCCATGTACGCCAGGTAGAAGGCCTGTGCATCAGAGATGTTCACATCCGTGCCGAGGTGGCTCGGAATAACATCTGAGGCAAGCACCTCCATGCGCTCAGTTAGACCCATAGCCTCTAGGTGCTCACGGAGAGGAGCGGAGAGCAGCTTCGTGATCAGCGATAGGCGAGACGGCACAAACGGATCGAGAAGTCGCTCGACCAGGGTGTGTGTCATGCGTACCAACGCATCCTGCAGCTCGGCGGTGGCGCCCTTGGCACTCTCTGCAATCATGGCCATGACCACTTCGCCATCCGCGTCAAGATCCATTTGTGCCACAAAGGTCTCTAGTAAAGCCGCCAGAGAACGGAGCACCCAAATGCCATGCGCATGAACGTCCATTCTTGGCATAAACTTGCCGACTTCTTGCGCCATGAGCATACGAATCCGTGATGGAATAGCGCGAATCGGCGTCTCCGATGTATCACGAGGTGGCGAGGCAATCCATGTGGTCCATAGGACCTCGAGCTCCGACGTGAGCACGTCACTGATCTCCTGGGTGGTGTGTTCGTCGGCATCATCACGGCGGATGATCTGCCGTACAAAGTATTCCAAGCACTCGCACACAGTAGACGTGTAGATACGCCATGTTCGTGGATCGCTAACACCCAGGACAAGCTGATCAGCGATGTTAAGTAGGAGCCCCGTCCAAGTCCGCATCGAGGTAGGGTTGCGTGGGAGAGCCGACTCTGGTATGGTGGACAAGAACACCAGCACAGCAGGGAAACAGATCGTCGGGGCCCTAGGCGCAGAGTACTGGATCCATTGCATAAAACCGGGTAAGCCCAATGGCTTTTCAGCAGACGGATCCGCCTCGCTATCCTCGTCGTTCTCGACGCTGTCGGTATCGTCGTCAGAGTCAGAATCCGAGTTAGCTGAGGAAGCTTGGAGGAGCCATGCATCAGGGCGTCGCTTGAGTAGCGGAAGGAACGTTCCCAGCATACTAGCAATGACACCCTCTAACCTTTCTGACCAGGCACTGGGGAAGGCGGCCCCTGCAATCATATCGAGATTCTGATCCAGGAGGGAGGCGTGCGTGCGGTCCAAATAGCCGAGCCACGCCCAAGCGCGCTGCCGGGCCACAGGCGAGCCACTTCCCAGCACAGTTTGGCCCTCGTCTGCGGCCTCCTTGGGCATAAGTGCTGTCCACAGCTGCGGCGAAGCAACGAGGGACTCCAGGTCCTCAGCCGTGATGGACGGTGAGGACTCGGCCATCCACTGCAACAGACCCAGAGCGCCCGCAACGAGACGGCCATTCATCTCCTCGGCATTTTCGTCCACGTTTGTATCGTCGCGGCTCTTTGCGTCAAACTCGGCGCCCTCCTTGGAAGCAGGTGTAATTTGCAGAGAGGGCGTCAGCTGGGCCAACGATGCCACAGGCATGTCCGAGCACAAGATCGGGTTCAAGTGCTCTAGCAGCACGGAGACGTAGTCGTCAAGGACAATATGGCACGAGTCCGAGTCCGTGGGTGCCAGCCTTACACTTTCTTTCCACAGCTGTGACCCCAGTCGTGCGACTGAGCGGCTGGTATCGAATGACATGACGCCCCAGTAGCCAAGGATAGGCTCCATGTACATAGGCGATAGAAGCTCCTCCCGGATGCAAGTAGCATTCTCATACGGTACGGGAAAGTGAAGCAGTTCGGAATGCACTTGTAGGGTGAGCTGACGCAGCCGTTGCGAGGGCGAGAGAGCAAGGCGGGGGAATAGAAAGACCCAACACGGAAGCATGAGAACCAGAGCATCGTTCCTCTCTCCCAGTGAGATAGGCTGTGCTGCAGCGTCATCGCCGGACGATGGCGCCCCCTGGATCCAGGCCAAGAGACTCTCAAGCGTGCGCACACGAGTCACAATGTCCTTCTTTAGAGCTTTGCGGAGAAGTACGACCAAGTCCGCGGGAAGGAGACTTGCCAATCCCATTGAATCCAGTGGGTATGGCGGCGGCTGCGGTGGCTTGGGCGGTGGCTTATACGCCTTCTTCTTCGCAAGTTGCTTGCGCTCCTTCTTCGAGAGCTTCTTGCCGCTCGAGTTGGTGGGCGCTTGTGTGGCAGACCGGGGCTGAGCACCATCCGCAGATTCTCCGCGCTTGGCTGCAGCCGCCGCCGCGTGCTTCTTCCGGGTGCCGGCGGTGGCGGACGACTTTCCGCTCTTGCCTCTCCCCATCGGAGTCGAAGGGAGCCTAAATGCAGCCACCGTGCTCGAGCGCCCATTGCTGACTAATTCGGAAGACCCTTGTCCTGGGCCTGGCACGCACGGTGCAAGGTGCGACCGCTGAGCAGAGATGGCGGGGCCCAACATGGAAGTGTTCCGTTTCGGACTGTGTGTGCATATATGCTCACAGTAGATATCTGCTTTTCCCTCTCGGATTTATGCTCTACTTTGGCGACCCTTCGTTCTATGAGAAGCATGTGCTTCCGGTACGTGCACGCGCCTGACGCAGCTTCGCGACCGCTTTACGCCCCCAGAGACAGGCTTTGTATGTAATCAATCAATACTGACACATCAGCGCCAGCCACGATCCCTTGATGATATCCGGGAGACATTAGGGACGAAAAAGAAGATCGAGTCGGTATCGGCTGACCCCCAAGTCCAACATCGTCTGAAGGACTGGGCGCTTTCAGACAAAGAACGCTTAATCTAGCTGGTATAGTCTACTTGAGCTGTGAGGCATCTCCGCGGAGCGCCAGATAGGTATTGTCGACCCCGGGTACCTGCGATGTGAGTATGGGGCACGTACAAAGCCCTTGATTATGTCGTATACTTCTACGCTGTGGTAACGCAGGCGCGTTTTGGGGTCGGTGTAGTTTCCCTGGAGTAAGAATGCGCGCACATACCACGAGACCTGTAATGTCGCAATATTTTTTCGCAGGTAGCAGGCTTGGTGGCGCTTGGACACTCGTGTCTTTGGGTGAGCACTCAGCACGTACATGTAGGCACGCTGCGTGGGGGCGCCTTCGGTGCGTCGACATCCATGGCATCAGCAGCACCGGCTGCGTCGGTCTTTAACCGCTTGCTCGCAGTCTCGTCCGCCATTCGCTGCTGCAAGAACATGTCGCGCTCCTGGTTCAGAATTTGCTTCAGGGTCTTGTTGCGCCGAGGAGCTACGGGCGCCCCATTCGCACCGCTCTTTTGCAGATAGGCCTGTGACTTGAACGGCCGCTTTTCTTCATAGACGGACAATGTTTCAGACGAGATATTTTTGTCCCCCATGGCACGGCTCATCGAGGGCGTGGTAGCCGTAGTGGATCACGTGGAGTGGAGGATCCCAGACGATAAGGCACGTCCATCTAGCGGACGAGCGACAACTACTGTGGAAGCTCCCAAGGGCACGCGAGACTACGGAGATCAGACGACGAGGGGTGTTTGCCCACCAAGCCTCCAACGTCCATAACCATTTCCACGTGCAGGTTCAAGGCTGTGTGAGTGAGGAAGACATACTGGGGCGGTCCGTGCCCTGATCTGCATGTGAGTGGCGCGGACGTACATAAGTGAGCACAGGCATCTTGGAATAGCAGCTGTGTAGCGTCTCCCGTAACATTGAGGCTTTTGTGCGAAAAGGCCAGGTCGACGTCCACGGTCGTCACCTTACGGCCCGGGACCCACTGCTTGGACAGGTCGCCTTTGGCCACGATGACATTGGTATCTAGCGCTTTGACCGTAGTCGCCAAGGAGAGGATGTGTGCGGGTATCCAGCCGGGATTGTCCAGGCGCACGTGCAAAGTGCCGTTCATTCTGCTGTAAGACGACGGCACGTACTGAAATCCAGTAGGGAACCCGGTGAGGGCCATCGCCGTCTTGTTGCCATTCATAGGCGTGAGAGGGTTGTTGGTCACAATAGACACGTCTGCGAGTAAGCATGAGCAACGCACCAGGAACGCGGGGAATGACGAAGAAGAGGCCCACGCCAATACTGTTGTTAGCGGCACCCACGTACAGAGCTAGTACTATCACCGTCAAGATCACGGCGATCTGCGGGCCGAGCCATCCGCCCAGCGGATTGTAGCCACGGAGCCAAGAGTCGATCTTTCCAAGGAACTTGTTGCGCCAGTAGAAGCGACGGTACGCACGCGTCATCTGCTCGCGCTCCATGTCGGTATATTCGGCGCCAAGGGGCGCCCTGTCGTCGAGCTCCCATTGCGAGTCGTTCGGGATCAGAGGACGGAAGGTTTTGGTATCACGATCAAAGAGGCCGGAGCTGCACTCCCCCGTGCTGAAGCGGCTCTCGTGTGCCAAAGATGTATCGTAAAAGGACGTGTGTACATCCACAGTGCTGGGGACCTGGAGCAGGGGCCCCGACTTGGGCCGCATCGAGAGCGGCGGAATGGCGCCCTCGGCATACACCGTGACTGGCCGACTCTTGACGCCAGGCTCCTGCGCCTGGTTGTTAAAGTCCTTGTACATATCAAAGTCTGTGTCAGTCGAGTCGGCGTACCATCGCCTAGCGAGTCGTCGCTCTCCGAGCCGCTATCGACGTCCCACGCTGCTAGCTGGGGATCGTCCGCCAAGGGATGCGGTGCCGGCGCATCCTGGTGCCTATCCTGACCCTCGTGAACGGCGAATGTATGCTCTACCTCGCCGGGTACCTCCCCCCATAGAGAGGACGCCGGGCCACCATTCATGGCCCACGTGGATCGTGCGGAGCGGAGCAGCGACGACCGTCGTGTTGGTGTTGCCCGGAACAGACATTCGGCCTAGTAGGTACAATATACATAGCTATGGTACAGGCAAGGCGCACAGCGCCGGCAGCCTACATGCGTGGCTGGCGTGTTTCAAGAGAGGCGGTGGACGACGCCAAGGGGCTCACTGTAGCTCCGGCATGCGTAGGGCGCACGTCGCTGCTGGCGAGCCATGGAATCGAGTAGACGAAAAGAAGGAGGCCCAGGACAACGGTAAGTAGGATAAATACGCCCACTGGATCGCCCAAGCATAGGCGCTGCCAGCGTGTGGGCGGCGCCTGCGTGATTCGGCGCAGGCCCGCGATCGGCTCGCCGGGCAGCACGGCCATGGGAATGTGTTCCGTCGTGCCGTCGACATCAATGACCAGTGTGTCTGCTTCGTCGAGGTTCCATTCATTCAGGGTAATGTCCGACGCCGTAGAGACACTGTCGCGCGAAGATGAGACGCCTGGGTCCGTCGCCATCGCATAGGGAAGAGACAAGCGCCCAGCCCCGGCGCGGCCGCCACGTGGAGGTGAACGACCCTACCACCCACGATGCACCTGTGGCAGCTGGCCACCTGGGCGCTCCTGAGTCTCGTGCTGGTGGCGGCACAGGATTCACAGGCCGCGGCAAGCTCCGGCAGCTTGTCTCCGAGTGCGTCACCGGCCACGTCATCGGGCGGCGCGCCTTCTGACAGTGGCAGTGCCACGCCTTCGGGCCCATCGATCACCGCGACGGCGTCCAATCCCCAAACAGGGGACCTCGCCGGCACAGCCGTCGCCCCCAACCCCAACGGCGAAGGACGTACGGGCCCCGATGACACCCACTTTGTGAGTGGTGCCCCAGCCGCGCGGGTCCCGCGCATAGTCCCTGTGCTGGTCAGCCTGGCTGCGGTGTTGTGGGGCTATGGGCTCTGCTAGTCGCGCGTCACGGACTCGAAGCGCAGACGCGTGTCGTGCGCCACATTCTTTGGTAGCGCTGCCATGGCGCGCGCATAGAATAGGGCATCGGCGACCACATGCAAGTGGCGCACTCCCTGCCGCACCTGGCTGGGGGGTGGTGCAGGCACCACACCTGGGATGCCCAGGCCCAGCATGGTGGCTATCGCAGCAATGACAGCCCCTAGCTCAGCCACCAGCGGCAGCTCGGTGGCTGCGTCGTCAACCAGGGCCCATCGCACCGAGACGAGGCGCGGTAGTGCCCCGTCCGCCCCGCCGATAGCGAGTGCCTCTCTTTGTGACAACATGTACATGCATAGGTCCAGGTGACTCAGGGCTTGGCTCGCTGGATGAGCAGGCATATACCATGTGAGGGGCGCATCAGCGTGGCGCGGCGGCGGACCGAGGCACAGTGTATGCAGATGCCATAGCGCGGCGGGCCAGCGAGGCCCTGCGAGCGCCTGGTCGAATGGGCCGGAGAGACAGAGCGTGTGTAGCTGCGGCGTCAAAACGAGCGCGACCTGCACGGACGCCACGAGACTGTGGATCGTCGGCAGCGGAGGGACCGCAGACACTGAGGCGGACGATGGCACGCAGAGGCTGTGCAACGGCACACCGAACGGGCGGTGGTCCAGGGTATGTGCGAGTGCGCGCTTCGCGGTGCGCACGCCCGGCACCGCCTCTGTGCCTTCGTCGGGAGTGCCAGGAAGAACAAGAGCTAGAGCATCAGCGCGTGCATAGAGACCCAGGTCGTCAAAGCAGTCGGCCACCAGGAACGGCAGCGCACGGGGAGGCGGTGCAGACTTGGCGGGCAGTGCGTGCGGCGCATGCGCCTGAATCGAGGACATGGCCTTCCAGCGACCCTGGGCGAGCGCCTTGGCTAGGAGCACACACAGCCAGGGCGGTAGGACGGACGGCGGCATCGACTGGAGCACGCGCCACACGAGCGCCATGAGGGTATCGTCTTCAGAGGCGGGGAGCGCAAAGAGAATGTCGCTTGCATCGGCCCAGTCGAGGGGGTCGTAGCGCGCGCCGACAGGGCGCAGGTGCCGCGGCTGGGGCGCGAATGGATCATCGATGGGTGCGTCGCCGCGCTCGTACTCGGCGACGCGCACGGCCGCGTGAGGCGACTCGGCCCGCAGGGAATATGTGTGTGCCTCGACATTGTAGGGCTTGGAGTGCCAGCGGCGGAGCTCCTCGTCACGCTCGTACGCCGCAAGGCTGCGCATCCACCGCAGAAGCCCATGCGCATCGAGCCAGCGCTGCGTCCACGCAGCAAGTCCAATATCGTTCCCGTGCGTATCACGGCCATAGCGCCGAATATCGATGCCAGCCGCGCCAGCTGGGCCTGCATACAGTGTGGCGACCTCGGCGATGTCGCGCTCGAGCGCCGACGATAAGAGGGACCCAGCTGCCGTCGTTGGGTCCGCCTGGCTGTCCTGGTGCAGCTCGTCGGTCAGGTCCAGGGCCTGTGGGAGATCGCGGAACGGGTGCGGATACGGCAGGCGGGGCGGCTTGCAGGGCGCCGGTGGGAGGGCCGCGCCGATCGAGAGTGTGTGGACGAGCTCGCCGAGAGCCGGGCGCGCTTGGAGAGTACGCACCAGTTTGTCGAGCTGCGACGGCCGCGAGAGCACAATCGTATGGTACAGGTGGGGAGCGAGGGCTACGTACGACGCGCGGCTGAGGCACATGGCGCCACTGATCCTCTCGTACGCCCAGATGGGTGCGCGTGTGTGTGCTGCGCATGCAGCAGCACGCCATGTACGCAACGCTTCGTGCTCCTCGCACGCATCGAGCAGGATGCGCACAAGCAGCGCCTCAGGCAGGACAGGCGCCGGAGGCATCTCGCGGGTGGAGGGGAGACTCGGTGCATCGATCTGACGTCATGCTGCGTGTCGACGGCGCCCTATGCCACGCGGCAACGCCTGAGGCTGAGCGCCTACGTGTGCATGTGGCCCTCGCGCAAGTGAGGCCGAATCCTCATAGTGCGGGGGAGGTTTCGCCGTCGCTGGTGCGGATGCGCGAGATGGCGTGCCAGGCGCAGGCACTGGGCGTCGACGTCCTCGTGCTGCCCGAGTACTATTTGAGTGGGTCGTCGCACGACGTGTGGCGCCTCGTGCACCGCCATGACCCGCTCGACAGCACGGACGACCATCCCGAGTGGCTCGCGGACATTTGCGCGATCGCGCGCGAGTCGGCCGTCGCCATCGTGACGGGCTCGGCGGTGCTGCGTGTGGACGACGGGGAGGCCGGGAGCACGCTGTTCAACACGGCCTACTTTGTGGATCATACGGGCGAGGTGCTTGGCTCGTACACGAAGCGCAACTTGTGGCACTCGGAGCGGGAGCTGCTCACGCGCTCGACGGACGAGTCGCATCCGCCTGATCGGCACCCGTCGCGCTTCGTCTTCGAGACGCGGCGTGGCCTGCGGGTGCGTGCTTCGATGCTCCTGTGCTGGGACCTGATGGTGCCAGAGGCGTGCCTGCGCCTTCTCTCGGAGCCGGGCGGGCCGCCCGCGGACCTGGACGAGCCGGGGCACTGGATCGGCCCGGACATTCTCTTTGCGCCGACGTGCTGGTACGCGGATGACTCGGGGCCAGAGGCGCTAGCGCTGAATGCCAACTGCGAGGCGGTGTGTCTCGATGCGGTGTGTGTGGCACGGGCGATGGAAAACGAGTGCTTTGTATGCATGTGCAATGCGGCAGGTCCCGCAGAGGGCACGCCGCGCGGCCTGGGGCGGAGCAGTGTGAGTGCGCCGCTCCTCGGGTGCAGCGCGCGGTTGCCGGACGCGGGCGAGGCGCTCCTTGTGCACACGCTCGACATGACGGCGGTGCAGACGGCGCGGCAGGTATTCCGCCTCCGGCACGATAGACAAAGTGGACTGATTCCCATGTGACTACCTACTAATTCGACTCGCTGTGCACGGTGCGCCCCAGCAGCTCTGGCGCATCGCCGCGGAGGCAGAAGAGCTCGACGAGCTGGATCTCCTTCGCTTCCGCAAACTCGGCGTTGTTCAGCAGCGCATCGAACTCATCGCGCGTGTACACCGCATGGTAGCGCTTGCGCGATGGCAGCGGTTCGTGCGCATGACTCTCGTCGCGCTCCTTGGCGATTTGGCCCGTCTCGTACGAGTCCAGCAGCGAGCGGCGGCTGCGCGATGAGCCCATAAAGTCGAGGAGCAGGCTGTGATCGATCGGTGCAATGTTGTTGTAGCTGCGCTCGGGACCGTGGATGATACGCTCGATCTCGTAGCCGTCGTTGTTGATGACGAAAATGATCGGCGTAAGGCCGAGCTTGATGACCGTCGAGATCTCCTGCATCGTGAGGAGCAGGCTACCGTCGCCCACGAACAGGATCACACGACCGTGGTTCAGCACACGCGCGCCGACCGCGATACCGAGCAAGGCGCCGACGCTCCAGCCGATCGAGCCGTAGAGCATCTGCTGGTGGTAGTGCACGTCCTTCGGCAGGACCGTGTCGACCGCGCCAAAGCAGCTCGAGCCCATCTCTGCGATGAGGTGGTCACCCGGGCGCAGGAAGGCGCCGAGGCGGTGCCACAAGTAGTTGTGCGTGACGAGCGTCGGGAACGACTCGGTGGGCGCCGGCGGCTCGTGCGCAATCTTCGCCATCTCCCGCGCGTGCGCGAGACGCGCCTCGCGCTGGCCTTCGAGCCTGTCGGCGAGCGCCGGGAGCACCTCGAAGAAGCCGAGCTTGTCGTAGTGCGAGTAGCCGATATCGGTCGAGCCGTGGTGCACGTTCATCGTGTGGCACGTCGGGGTGCTGTAGCTAAAGCCGCCCGTGTTCATGTCGCTCATAAAGCTGCCGAGCAGCAGCACCATGTCCCTCGTGCGCGCGACTTCCAGCACGCCCGGCTTGGACTTGGTGCCGACGTACACGCCCAGGTACTGCTCGTCGTCCTCGGGGAAGAAGCTCTTGCCCATCGGGGCGACCACGACGGGCAGGCCCGTGCGCTTCAAGAAGTCGTACACGACCTTGACCGCACCGAAACGCATCACGCATCCATCGACAATGACGAGCGGGCGCTCCGACTGCTCCATGTGACGCACAGCCACGTCGACCACGTACTCGAGCGCGTCGCGGTCGTACGGCTCACGCACGGCCTCGATCGGGCGCTCCAGCTCCTCCGTCGGCACGTCCATGTCGAACAGGTCGACGGGAATGCCCAGGTACACGGGGCGGCGTGTCGTCACCATCGAAGTGAGCACACGGTCGATCGTCGGCGCGGCGTTCTGCAGGTCGCGCTTCGTCCAGCCGATCACCGCCGTGTCGCAGGAGACATGCTGCGACATCTTCATGTACGCGTCGAACAGGTAGCCGCCCAGCGTGTGGTGCACCCACAGGTGCGACATCTGCTGCTGCGACTTGGGCATACCGACAATGTGGATCACGGGCAGCTGCTCGGCGAACGAGCCAGCGATACCGTTGAGCGCCGACAGCTCACCGACACCAAACGTGGTGACCAGCGCAGCGGGGCGAGCGGTTGTCCGCGCATAGCCGTCTGCGGCGTACGACGCATTGAGCTCGTTGGCGCAGCCAACCCATTCCAGGTCCTTGGTGTCCTCGATGTGGTCGAGGAGCTGCATGTTGTAGTCGCCCGGAAGGCCGAATACATGTGTTGTGCCTAGCTGGATCAGGCGCTGGCAGATAAAGTCCCCCAAGAGCATGGTAGTGGCGTAACAAGACCTGCAGCGACGGGCCGTTCAGGCCCCTCACGTGGCCTGGGCTTTCGGAGATGGCACGGATATAGGGCGAAACTTTATTTGCTAGCGTATCGTTGAGAAAGGGGCCCCTGCGCCCAGGGGCAGCCAAGCACATTGGCAGTGCGGTTGGCCGCGTGCATAGTTCGCAAACCCTGAGTGGCGTGACCTAAGGGGTCTGCACCGCCATTCCGCCTTCGGGCCAGCCGCCAGGGCCAGAGCCGCCAGGGCCCACTCTGACGCCACGTGCATGCGCACGGACGTGCCCTTATGTATCACGTGCGTTGTCGTCGCACCCCCTGTCTCCACCTCATGAGCCGCAAACGGAAGAGTCGTGCGCCGCGCAGGAACGACGGCATGGGCGACGGCGAAGGCCTGAGCTTCGTGCTGGATACACAGAGTGCGGATGTGCCGGATGGCGCACGCCCACCGCCCTCGGACGAGGCGGCGCCGGCGACGTGCGACACGTCGGGCCTGGCGCTGCCGAGTCATGTGGCGATTGTGCGTGACGCGGGCCCGCCCCCCAGCGAGGCCGCGGAGCCGGGTCGCCTGGGCGACTATGAGCAGCTGGATGCACAGGGATCGCGCTACTATGAGGCAGAGGCCGACGAGGAGCGCAGGCGCAGAGGCACATGCCCCGTGTGTGGCGAGACAGGGCACGACAAGAAAAAGTGCCCTTACACGCAGTGCCTCGCGTGCGGCGCCGTGAACGAGCACGCGACGCGCAACTGCCCCCTCGGCACGAGCTGCTTCCGGTGCGGCGGCGTTGGGCACCGCAGCAAGGTATGCACTATGCACTCACGCCAGGACTGTCCCGTGCCGCGCACGTCCATGCACCGCCGCCGCGTGTGTGAGCGCTGTGGCCGCCCTGGACACCCCGACACCACGTGCCCCACGCTGTGGCGCATCTATACCTACCGGAGCGACGACGAGTACGAGCGCGAGCGCTCCCGCCTGCGGCGCCACGAGCTGCGGCGCACGGCGCAGCTCGCTGCGCAGCAGGAGCGGCGGCAGAAGCGGCAGCGCAGCTGGGCCGTCTCGCTTGTGGAGCCGACGGACGAGGCGGGCCCGAGCGAGAGCAGCAGCGACGACGACGGCGACACACGCCCCCCGCCGGGCTGGGACCCTGCGCAGCTGTGCTGCTACAACTGCGCGCGCATGGGTCTCCACTGGGGCGACGACTGCCCCCAGCGGCGCACGAACCCGACGCGGCCGACCGGCGACCCCTCGGCGTTCAGCGTGGAGCTCGCGGACGCCGGGCCCTTCCACCGTGCGGCGCCGGGCCTGCGTCTGCGTGGTGCGAGCACACGGCCCCTCCCTGAAAGCGTGCAGGCCGACTCCGACGCCGATGCGCGCGACTGGTTTGCGCGCCACCAAAAGCTGCGGCAGCCTGCGCTGTCTGCGCCATGGGACGCCGAGCCACCGCGTGCTCCGCGCCGGTCGTCCTCCCAGGGCGCTCGTGCGCCTGCGCCCCTGCGGCGGCCGCGCGCCAAGGACGAGGCCCCTCGGCCGCGCAGGACGCGCCTGCCGCGCTTCCGGCCCCAGTACCGAGGAGGCTACGCCTAGTGGAGGTATGCGCGCTATTATAGGGTCTGCGCCTGGCGCGCGTTAGAACGCATAACCACGTGGCCTTTACCCAGTCTCGCGCGTCCCCCCTGCGTGCGAGGCGAGCGGCAGGCAGGAGAGACGCAGCGTCACGCGTAGACGCCGTGGCCGCACCGAGGCAGCGTGCGACTTGGCTAGCTGCCATGACAGCCCTTGGTCTGCCTGGACGGATCCGCACGCGTGCGGCCTACCGGCGTGAGGGCGATGCCCCTGTCAAGGCGCCCGTCTCCGGCGCGGCCTGCGCTGGCGCAGCGCCGGCACCGGAGGCCCACGCAGGGAGTGAGCCAGTGACAGCGCCTGGTGGCGACGAGGACCCCGGCGCGTCGCTGCCCTCGGGCTGTGCGGCGATGCGCGGCCCGGCGCGGCCCGACGAGAACAAAGAGAACATTGCGCCAGTCCGCCAAGTCACCGAGGCGGTCCTCGCGCACGAGGCGCAACAGCGCGCGTGGGAGTCGATGGCGATGCGCACGCGACGGCGCACGGCCGCCTCGGAGCGTGCGCCGGACGCCGACGCCCCAGAGCCGGCGCCGGCGCTTCCCCAGACGCCGCGCAAGAAGCGCAAGGTGTGGACGCCGCCGGCGTCGACGTCGTCCACGGCGGCCCATACCCCCGAAAAGGCGAGCCCTAGTGCCGTGCCGACGCCGCCGCCGACGCCGCCTGCGCCGAGCCCGTACGCGCGTGCGCGTGCGTGCCTACGCGATGAGGCGCTCGTGGGCCGCGCGGCGGAACGGCAGCGCATCGAGGCGTTCCTGGACGAGTCGCTCGCACGCACGTCCGATGCCTCGGGCTGCTTGTACGTCTCGGGCATGCCCGGCACCGGGAAGACGGCGCTCGTGCGCGACGTGCTGCGCGCGCGGCCGGAGCGCCACCTGTACATCAACTGCGTCGGCCACGCGCATCCCGGCACGATCGTCGCGCAGCTCGCCGCCGCGCTGGGCCTCGACGACATGGCGCAGCTCGCGCATGCGCCGCCCACGGAGGCCGCGCCGCTCATTGTGGTGCTGGACGAAATGGACCACCTGCTGCACACGCACGACGAGGTCCTGCATACCCTCTTCTGCCTGCCGGCCCAGGTGCGGCAGCACACCGCAGCGCGCCTCGCGCTCGTGGGCATCGCGAACTCGCTGGACCTGACGGAGCGCTTTGTGCCGTGGCTGCGCAGCCTCGGTGTGCCGCCCGCGCTGCTGCACTTTGCGCCGCTCTCGGCGGACGAGGTGTGTGAGCTGCTCGAGACGCGCCTGCGCGACGCCGCGACGATGGTGACGCGGCCCGCGCTGCAGCTGCTCTCGCGCAAGCTGAGCGCGAGCACCGGCGACGTGCGCCGCGCGCTCGACACGTGCCGGCAGGCGCTCGACCTCGCCGAGCAGGGCGCGCATGCGCAGGTCACGCCGACGCTCGTGCTGCGCGTGCTCGCGCAGATGGCCGGGCACGCGCAGGTGCAGCGTGTGCGCGCGCTGAGTGTGCATGCGAAGCTGCTGCTGCTCGCGTGGGTCGTGCTGCAGGTGCAGGCGGACGCGGGCCTGCACAGCACGCGCGGCGACGGCGGCGTGCGCCTGTGTGATCTGGAAGACATGTATGCACACATGCTGCAGAGCGACGGCGCCTTTGCCGCACCGCTCGAGAGCTCGGAGCTGCTCGACGTGCTCGAGCGCCTCGAGGTCCAGGGCCTCGCGCGTGTGTACACGGACGTGGGCGGCGGCAGCGCGCCGCCTGCGTTTTCGCGCCCGTCGCGCAAGGCGTCAAGCTCGCCGCGCGTGTCGCCGAGCGGCAAGCGCACGGCCGCGCGGCAGCTGCTCGCGACGAACCGGCGCATGGCGCCGACGCTCGAGCGTGCGTGCATCGTGCGCGCGCTCACCGAGGGCGCGGGCGACGGCAGCCACCCGCAGACGGTCGTCGACGCAATGACGCGCCTGCTGCGCCGCGAGGAAGACCAGGTGGCGCGGCGCACGGCGTGGCGCGAGACGGAGCCGGCGCGCGAGCGCACGCGGCGCGACGAGCTCGGCGGGGGGCGCGCAGCCGTAGCCAGTCTGTAGACCTATGATTGGGCCTCGCCCGCAAAGCGCGCCATCGTCAGCAGCTCGTGGACAATGTCCGTCGCCGACTTGTCGCCCCACACGATCGTGCGCGCAGGCATGTTCGCTGGGTCAGTGGCGCCGCGTACCGTAGTGCACCTGCAGGCTCGCATGCTCGCTCGGCTCCACGTCCACGCTCAGCGCGGGGTTCGCATACACAAGGCGCGGCAGCTCCTCGCGCAGGAGCGTCCTGGCGTAAGTGGCGCCACGTACCAGTCGCGCTTCGTACTGAACTTGGTCGGCGCACGGATCGTCAGCCCCGTGATGTTCGCAGGCAGGCGGTGCGCGCCCGCGCCCGTCGTGAGGCGCGCCACGACGCCAGCGAGCGTCCGGCGAGCGGCCATGGTGGGAGAGGGTATCACGTGAGTGCCGGTGCGCCGTGGAGGCCGCCGCGCGGCCGGCTC